ATGACAATCTTTATCCTCACTCTGATGAACGGAATTTGTTGACTCTCTAGTTGCATCTTAACATACAATCTCCTCTGTATCCAAAGTACAACAAAATCATGTTCACAATCATGTTCTGTCCAAAAGCACATCATCATGATCATCTTTTAGTGATCATGGACAAACCCCCATCTCACATGCTCACTTTCCGCTATCCACAAGCCAGCCTTGAAATAATATCCACGGGTATAACACCTCAGCTGGAAATAGGTTGATTTAGCCATAGAAACTAGTGATGTTTTGAAATACTTGGTTTACATGACTATCTTTGGTATCATACATATATAAGCATGATCTCCAAGAAAAACAAGAATAAGAATGATTTCTTGAAGCCTTAACCATAATGCATACCCTATAAATTGTTGATAACGAATGATTTCTTTATTGCATAGCACACCTAATATTGAATCGTTCATAGTAAGTCACAAACACTTCGTTCAAGACTATCATATTTGATTATCTGAAATACAAGCATTATTCATTATTGTTTTCACGTTAATGAATGTGTAATCTATCGTGACCTGTACAGATAATAGTTATTGGTAATGGTAAATAGATCAAGCCCGTGGGACCCAAAGGATCAAAAGGCTCAAAAACACAATTCAAAGAATCCAACCTTACCTAGGAGAGAACCAAAAGAATCCCCTAGCTAGTGCCAAGAGCACTAGAACGGTAACTAATAATATCCCTAATGTAACAATCTAAATCATAAGGCTTAAGCTGAAGCAAAGAATAAAAATTCTCAACAACAACAACTTTGTGAGCCACTCCAATCTCAACATATCTAGTACAAGTAAAAAATACATGCTCTTCATCCTCAACTTTTCTTCCATCACATAGTCTACAAATACGTTCACTCTTATCAATATTCAACCAACGCCCTTCTTCAATCTCCAAGACTATGAGATCATGTTCTATGCATAGCAATAATATGACGTAAAGAAGTAGATATCTCTGCAAGTAAGTATCCATCTCACAATTAACAACTATAGGATTCATAAGAAGTTGATAAAACTCCAAGTTAGTGCCTTGTGTGCTCCAAATAGTGATCCTCGATACGGTCGCGTACGGCAATAGGTTGCAAATGCCAATCAAGTTCCGTCACATTGCACCTCAAAGACATAGTCACCACATCTGCAAACCATCCCTTGGTACGTGTGGCACCCAAAGCTTCAAGAGGAAGTCGAGGAGCATGAAGAGATATCACTCTTTTGACGTAAGTGGATTTAAAAAAGAGAGCTTTAGCTTGAAGAGGTCGACAACCTGTTTCGGCAAGAAGAATAGCATATGAAATTTGGGTACTTACACCCCATTCTTCTTGAAAGAAGACCTTTTGCACCCTCTCCATACACTGCCAATTTGTTTTCTTACAACCAGGATCCCACACTTGTGTTCCATATAAGAGAACGGGAAACACTAAGCTCATGAATAAGAATTTTCTAAGACTTCAAGACACTAGATGAGCTCCTCTACATTTATTTAGCAATGAATATAGAGCTTTGAAACTAGCTTCTACCATCTTTCGCACGCAAAGTGCCCAACTATAATCGAAGGAAAAACCAATGCCTAAATATTTGTAATTCTTCACTTGTTCCAATTCTAATCCTTTATATAAAAAAAAAGCTTGGATCTAGTGTACACAAGAATGACGTTGGACTTCTCCAAAATGACCTTCATTTGATTTTGAATACAAAAGTTAGCGAAAGTGTCAAGGCGTTTCAGTAAATTAATGGCATCACGTGCTAGTAATATGACATCATTCGCATACAAAAGAGCTTTGATGACAAAGCTTCCAAGTTGGACACCTTTGCTGTCACAATACTCTAACCACCTTTCTATATCATCTATGAAAACTCCAAAGACAATAGGAGAGATATGACAACCTTGAATGACTCCAATGGTACTCAAAATCTCTTTGGTTTGAAAAGTGTTGATTTTGGCCCAAAGGGAGTGGTATAATGTGGCCACCGCTGCTAAAAGATCTGATAATACTCCAATGGTTTGCAATCTTTGTCATAAAAGTTCACGAGTTATTGTGTCAAAAGCTTTCTTGAAATCAATGAAGTCACGAAACAAAACTTTTCCATTACCCTTGGATTTTTCCCATAAAACACGTAAAACGTGTCTGTCAAGTCTGTCAAAGAGGAACGGCCGATTATAAAATGTAACCGGCCGTTCCTCTATGACGAAAATGTTGCGTGTTAAAAAATTACCTGGCAATTTCTGCACGAATTCAAATCTGAAGCCATGGTGTAATTAAGCTCGCCACTTTCAAAAACAGTTAGTACAAAAATAGTGTCAAATGTTATGGTATAGATTCTGATAATACTTACTATGTAAGCAATGAATGTTGAGAGCAATGATTGAATCATGCGATACAAATGATACTTCACTCCGAGTCCCAAAGTATAGTACACCAATTTTTGTGAAGCCTTTGTCTCTCACCAAAGTTAATGTCCTTTCTTTTCGGACTCGGAGTGAAGTATCATCACTGTGCTGAGTGGATATAATGAACGATGTGAATGATCGTGGTTGAACCACGAACCACAAACTCATGAGCAGAGCGAGTGTGTGTGAGCCTAAACTCCCCACCCTTCAGCGTTTGTAGTCCAGGTGGGGGTTTGAGCTCCCATAATCTAATTTCTCTGATCTCAAACCATGTGGTCAAAGTGTATTCAAGACAATGAGGTCATAAATACTCGTTTTGCCATGGACAAATTGTCCCGAACTGTCACTAACAATTTGATGTCTGCTATTTTCACAAGAGCAGCAGACAAGTTCTTTGTCACATAAAGATCTAACCCAACTATGGGTGACTTTCTCAATACTACAGCCGCTGTGGCTTATCCTAGAATGAGTGCCACATCTTAGACACACTGCCTCGAACACAGTCAGGTGACACACCAGCAGCACAAGGTGACACCCTTCCTAACAGCAACCTTCACATCCAAGGAACAGGATTCTACTCTCAACACTTGCTCGATTCTTCCTCCTAGTGATCAACTCAATCTCAGCCCAGCGATCTTCTTGGCCGCCACACACACTCTTCCGCTCAGCCCTCCGGCTACACTCTCAGCAACTCCACGCTTTTAACACCCTTGCCCTCAGGGATCTCACCCTCCTATCAGATTCCACCCACAATTCCGAGTATCAGATTTCAGTCTCACACCCTCCGTTCCCACCTTCGATTTCAGTCCCACTCCCAATTCCTACTCAGATTTCAGTGTCGATTTCTCAATTTTCACCTTCAAGTCCCACCAGATTTCTCTATCGGATTTAACTCTCACTTTTCAGTTTCAAATTCAGATCCCGACTGTCAGATTTCAGTCTCAGATTTCACTTCACTCGCCGCTCCCATTCTCAGGTCTTCCACTCTCCGATACGACTCTCCACCCACGAGAGGTTGCTTCCTCCTACTTTGAACTCTCCACACTCTACTCCTCCTACCGATCCCACCAGCGTCTCCACACAATGGCACACCACACAATCCCAGCTCGCAGGCCGAATAATCCTCTCCAACGTCCAAGGGCCGAGTCACCCACAGCCCGCGTGAATGCCGTTCCCGCGATGATAAACAACGGCCTGATTCCCATGTGCGATTTCATGTCCCGCCGTCCTATTTCCACGCCTGACTTCACGTCGCCGCCACTGCCACACCTGTACAGTCTTTATTTACGACCACGTCAACATCCGCCGTCCAAAATCTTCTTCCGCGCACCTCCGAAGGCATCCCCACGCCAAGCAAACATAACTCACAGATCGCTGCTTCGTTTGAAACGTTCTTGGGCTCGTTAGAACAAGCGTGTTGTGTTCTTTCCAACGAGCCCCTAACTAAGTCAAACCGATAAGAACTGAGAAAGTGATGATGGTTTTACTCTTCTGCCGAAGGCATTTGCCTATGCACAAGCGTCCTACACGCAGGCCGCCTATGCGCAGGCGCCTTGGGCCGAAGGCCCCTCTATATGTTAACGCCGAAGGCCTCTCACCTAACCATGACAGCCGCTTTTGACGCTCATAACTCAATGATGACTGATCCGTTTCAAGAGATCTTGGACTCGTTGGAACCAACGCGTCGAGTTGTTTCCAATGAGACCCAAATCAAGTCAAACCGCTAAGAATTGAAAAAGATATGCCGGTTTTACTGCTTTTCCGAAGCCGTGCAACCGCCGAAGGCCCTTCCCTCGAAGACGAACATCGAGGGCCGAAGGCGGATTTCCCGCCGGAGGCGAACTCCTTCCGCCGAAGGCGAACATCTACGTATCTTCCGATAGTCATAACTCCTTTAATTCTCATCCGTTCTAGGCGTTCTTGGGCTCGTTAGAACGAGCGTGTTGAGCCCTTTCCAACAAAACCCTAACCAACACAAACCGTTAAAAATTGAAAACGTTATCACGGTTTTACAATTCCGCCGAAGGCGTTTGTCTATGCGCAGGCCGCCTACGCGCAACCCGCCAAAGGCCCTCCATATCAGAAACTTCCGACGCTCCTAGCTCGGTGATGCCTTATCCGTTTCAAGAGTTCTTGGTCTTGTTGGAACTAGCGTCGTGAGCTCTTTCCAACAAGACCCTAACTGAGTCAAGGCGTCACACATTGAAAACGTTATGAGAGTTTCACTTCTTCGCCGAAGGCCTTTTCCGAAGGGACTTCACCGAAGGCACTTCGCCGAAGACCTTGCCCCGAAGGCCCCCTTCCGCACCTTGTGCCCCCTAACCATCACACCAACTCCTAATCTTGCCAAAACTTTCGGAAAACCCCAAGCATAATTTGCAAGAGCTTAAATCCAAACTTTTAAATCTCATAAAGGTAAAAAGACATGTGAGTACAGTTTTGTGCTCACAGTGTGTATGCGGTTAAAATCAGTACTCGCTTCACTTGCGTGAGATTGCAGATGAAGTACGATAGACTTCTGCGACTGAGACTTCAGGGAAGAAGCATCAATCTCTTCACCTTGATAGTCCTCACCTCAATGAGGCTTACCAATGAGGTAAAAGGACTACAGGAGTTTTATCCATCTAAATAAAATGTGGTCTCGTCGAAATTAGAGTCTAACCTTCTGACAGGTTATCTAACTTTCCTTTGCCTAATGTTTTTGATCCTATGATCTAATCTATATCAATTTTCGGTATTGCAAATGTACAATTTTTTTCAGGAAGCATCCATTGTTCAAAGATTCGTGTTATTGTTTGGTCGGAATGCATCTATTAACCTCTGGAGACAGCACCCTAACAAGGTTTAGGTGCAGGGATACTAACTTGATTCCTTGGGTACCGCTCCTTTTCTCTCCAACTTCTTACCTTACTCGAGATCATCAGGAGGTAAGATAATTTTCAACGATCATTTTCTTCAGCTGAAATGTATCCCGTGAACTGCTGCCACAGTCTGTTTGTAGTTCACTTATATTTAACGTTGCTTGCTCTTTTAAGATGTATGTGTTTTGACCATTGTGCACCATTGATCCACTTACGTGATATTTGCTCCCTGTGTCAATGCTGGGCCAAAGAGTTCCGAATTCAAACTTGAATTTGACTCCTTGATTAGTAGTTTAGAAAAATAGTGATTTCTTGTGCGGCTGAACAGCAGTGGCCTGTTTCTAACAGGACAGGACCGTATTCAATTGTGGTGAGGAAGTCACCTTCTTCTCAGTTTGGTCGAGTTCTGAAAAATCTTTTCTTCATACAGTGTCGAAGGTTGTGTACCGATGTTACAAGTGCTCGCATTTGAAAGTCGGACGAAGATGACTGACGAACGATTGGTATTGTAGGTCCCAAAGTGCATCAAGTACAGACTGCAGAGCGTAGACGATGCTGCCAAGATCAAGTGGATCCACTTCGCAAACCCAGCCTGTAGATGGTAATCCTGCTGATCAGAGAAAACGGATATGGCTGAATCCAAACCTTATCTCTTTTTCAGTAGCAAAGATACCGTTCACATCGAACCGGTACCAGAACAAACCAGTACTTACCCTGACAGAAGCGCTGCAGAAACTACGAAGAGGAGACATGAAAGCACAAGATTTTCCTACCATGTCAATTGTTTTTGTCCCTTATGGGACCGACTCGAAGTATTACACCTTGGACCACAGAAGACTCTGTATCTTCAGGGAGTATGGTCAAAAGATTCGAAGTTATAGTTGAGGAGCCTACTGACGAATTCTGTTTCAAGCTGACCACCGTACAATGTGCTGAAACCGTATGTATAGTTGACAATGTGGAAGAGAACCATGAATTCAAGGAGAGTTCTTCGTTTTTGTCCAAAGTGCTTCGATAGTCAATCGATAATATTACAGATGACCATTATTACAAAGCCCAGGTGTGTCCCAGAAAACTGGAAGTAGACCGGGCAAGGCCCAACTCTCTGTTCTTCACAGCTGGCAGTACCTGATCCGTAGTAGCGTTCCGTAGATCAAAATAAGGTAGTAATAAAAGATCATCTGAGAATGATATATTGATCCCTACGAGCGTTCCGTAGATCAAAATAAGGTAGTAAGAAAATATCATTTCAGAATGACATTTTCTTGCTACCTTATTTTGATCTACAGATGAGTCTGATTCCACCCAGATCTAAAAATAGAGAATACAACTACAAGTACGACGATAGCTCTGCGGAGACTTTGTGCCAGAGTTAATCTATCGACTTCGGTGTTCATAAGGATCAGGTAGAGGATCGTCCAACTGCAGTCCGCCGCTCACGAGGGTCCTCCCGATTTTCTGAAACCAGAGCACCACTGATGTCCATTACCACCAGGCCAGACAAAATGGCAGTAGATACCAGTGGTGGTGGAGCGAATCGGAGCAAATCCAGCTGATCATATTCATGTACAATAGACCTAAATTTCGCTTCCTCTCTCCAAGAGGTTTTATATATCTCAAAAATCTGACAACAATATCTATATGTTAATTTGGAGATGATAATGATAATATGAAAACAATTTGATTAGTATGTGAAATCTCGTGTTGATTATAGATATCACAACAAAAAGTGATAAAATAAGTCCCATAGATATGATCTTTTTACAAGATGATAGAATATTAAAGATCAGTAAAACTTTAGAAAGAAACTTGATAAAGTATAATTTAAAACAAATCTAGATAATAAATTATATATTATTATTTTTGTGTATAATACAAAACATTGTCTTCGTTGATCGTAAGATCAACGAAGACAATGCCATGCCTTGAGGACGCGATCCTTCCCAGTCTTATGGAACATCCTTGACCCGAATTTCCTCCCAATTGATTCGGGGTTTTTATATTCTTCATTATCTCAGTGAAGCTGCTGGAGAAAATCTCTATTTGTCATCTGAAGTTTCTGTACCCATTGTACAGCAAGAAGGTTGCTGTATAATTGCTTCAGATGAAAAACAGGAATTTTCTCCAGCAACTTCAGATGACACACAGAGTTTTTTCAGATTTCTCCATGATTCCAACAGCTTCAAATGACACACAGAGAGTTATTCAGATTTCTCCAGCAGCTTAAGATGACGCACATAGAGTTTCTCCAGATTTCTCCATTACTCCAACAGCTTCAGATGATGCACAGAGAGTTTCTCAACCCGCTTCCGATAAAGTTTGTCTTACCGTCTCATCTCTCCTTTATACTTCTTGGGGTTCACTTGAACCCCAAGAAGTATAAAGAAATGAGACGGTAGTTCTGACTCTCGGGGTTCACCCAAGTTTTTATAGCGAAAACACAATGTTAAATCATTTTATTTTATTTTATTTTAAAATTCTAAATATTATTTTCATACTGGTTTTAATTGGCATTTAATCTACAAGTGTGAAAAGAATTATAATTGTTAAAGAAATGCTCACCAAAACTATTTGTACTTTTCTGCATTCTCGTCACATGGTCTTCATTGATATCAACGGTTTCCCATGCCTTGAGGATGCGATCCATCCCAGCCTTCTTCAAGACTTCTGAAACACCCGTGCTCAGGGGTTGCCTGAACACAGCAAATGCTCTAAGACTTCTCAACGATGCAATCTTTCAGGAACAAAAGTCACAATGAATATAAGGGCGTAGATGCATCTCACGTATGAAGTAGACAAAGACTTCAGATTTCGAAAGCAGGAAAAGCAGGCGAAAATCATCAAACATGAACATCACAGGAACACAAGCCACTTTCGCTCATCATGAATGTCATTATGAACGCCTTGCTTCTTTGGCTTCGCGGCAGTAATACATAAACTTCCGGAGACATGGATTTAACAGAGGAAGAAAGACGGAATCATTATTACAAGAATCCTGAGTGAGGGTTAAGCTTCTTCCTCTTCTTCTTGAAAACTTGAGTGTAGCGGCTCCAAGTACGAGCAGTAGAAGGTTGAGAACCGCGGTCTGAAGACTCATCAGTTTTAATGATTCCAATGTCTTCTCGGACATGAAAATGGTCTATTAGCTTGGTTCTATTACCATACTATCTAGTATATCACTAGAGTGCGAGCTGAAGCTATAGTAATAGAATCAAGCTACCGAAGCAAAGCAAGAGGCGCTTTAGGTTAACGAGCCGGCGAGGGTTATCTCGCAGCACGCCGTCCCTTGGCGACCTCTGTGTGCATGTAATTCAAGTATTATTTTCAGTAATTAAAGTATTATTTTCAGTAACAATAACTATATGTGTAACGTGACTGCTTGTTAACACGACTCTACAAAAATCGGGAAGATCTCTGTGTCGATGTCAGTTGAAAGCGATCTCCCCAATGCCCCTCAACATATCCAACAGCTACCGCATCTGAAGCTCTCGAAATCACATAAAGCACTGAATAGTCCATCCTTTGGATTCAAAGCTCGGAAGTCGGAGAAGCACCACCATATACTGCAACAGGTAGTAGATTCGCATAAGACCTCTCAATGCTTATTCCCAAAAATATCATCGGGTTGCACCATGACGACCGACAAAATTGAACTGTAACCTCTAACATTGTGGCCTATATCTTACATACACGCCTGCACTCTACCTTCTCGAACAGTAAGTGTTCGGTTCTACAGAAATTGGAAATACTTTGTCCGGTCAGCTAGTACTTCCCGGAGTCTTCATCTCGTAAATATCTGAATTGCAGTAGCACATGGAACTCTCACTCTGAGTTCTCCTACTTCCAGTCTCGTGAAACGTGGTCTGAAGGTAGGGACAGGCTAGGCTCTGGGCGGATTCGGCAACTGATCCTCTTCAAACAAATGGCCTCTTGATGTGGCAATCCATACACTGAGGTCTCCATTTGTTGAGATGAGTATGAAGATGAAGATGAAGATGAAAGGTTGGGGCGGGTGTTGTCAAGCGCAGTGAGATCAACGTGTTTTCACGAAAAATGGCTCCTGTCATGTTTGAAATGTGACAACGAGTAACGTGCAGCAAATCAAATTAGACATCGTCTATATAACGGACTTAATATTGTTAAGTACTAGTAATAACTTGATCAAAGATGAGCCTTTTCTCCCTCTGGACGTAAAGATTCTTCTTTTCTCGAACTCAGGAAGACACCTATTGTTCGGAGTTGACAGTCGCTCCACCAGGATCGCACTTGGGAGCACTCGTCCTCGAAATCAGGATCACCTGCTCTTCGGATATGAAATTTCTCAAGACGTTTTTCAAAGAAAATTATTGTTTACTGACTCGTGAAGTTTTCCCATAGTACAGCTGCATAGTCTCATTAGATGCTGCCACACGAGATCTCGTGTGGCAGCATCTTCCTTCGCAGTTCATCTTATTCCACACTTCGAGGTACGCATTTATTGTAGTTTAACTGGTACCTTCGATGGATCGCAGCCCACGATGAAATGCCGTTGCTATAATCTAAATCCTAGAACAACTCAAATCGGCTCACTGTGCGGATCCCAGGGACAAGTATTCTCGAGAGGAGCATCTTCAACCCTCTCCCTTGATCGGTATTGTTGTTTGAAGGATCGGTTTCCATTACAAAACGAAGTTTGTGAGATCAATGATTGTTCCAAATAGCATAATCTCAAATAGCCCACATGGATACTTAAATAGCTTCGAAGGTCATAAAACATTTTTAACTCTATTTTTCATTCAGTAAAATTTTCTAAATAAATCATCCTACAAATAACATGCACATATGATGTATGAATCAATTATCGATATTACAAATAACATGCACATGTGATGTATGAATTAATTATCGATATTGAACAATCTTTAAATAGCACAATATTTTCTGTCATCCTAACTATAATTATAGTTCTCTTTAGTAAAAAATAATAATAAATTTTGATATATTTTTATGATGACAGAATCTCGTGTTGACGTCCTTCACGATTCCTTTCAATTCGTTACGCGCATCCTAAACTTACCCATGAAATTTTCTCGACCCATTTTCTAGAACGCAAGTTTATGTCTTGAAGAGTTATATTGTTTTTATAGGTACATTCATACACTCAAGAGTATAACTCTTCATCCACTATTTTATATAATTCCAATGCAAGTGTAATATAATAGTAATATCTAATAATAATCTATAATATAATTATAATATCTCTCGAACTGCTTACAGTATTAGTGTTGCTACATAAGCCGCACACATCCACTAAAATGAGTAATCATCTCTTCAGAAACCACTAGATCTGCAATTGTAACTTTATCTCCTAGAATTCAGTATATATACTCCGTCAACCTGGTAGACTTGAACTCGTATTAGTACTCTCCTTACATGAAGTGTTCAGTCTCATGCTCGTATTTCAAATACTGAATCTGCCGAAGCAAGCATCAAGACCCGTCAATGGATCTAGTGCATTGGGTCTAGATCGTTTGTTTTCCGATCACGAATCAAGCTACATGGGTAATTATGTGCTCTGTGTTCCTTGAACTTAAAATTGCAATCAAGTATTGTTTTTATAACTGATCTACAAACAAATATTTCACAAGAGTCTTTTGATGTTTGAAACTTTTTATAGAAAAATAACTCCTTGCTGAAGTATGTGAACATAAATAGCAATAAAAAATTGTGTGATTGATGCTATGTATTTGTAAATATTTTGGTGCTAAAAAAATTTATAATTTGAAACTCTGATAGATACTTTAAATTTAAATTCATATGTTAAAAAAATGAATCTCAAATGGTGAAATAAGATCTAACAAAATTGTCAATATTTATAAACGTCTAATTAAAAAAATTATTTAACAAACTTAAAAGTTGAAAACCTCGTTTTCTCTCCTGATTTTTTCATATGTACTTAATGATTATAATCTAAACACTATGAATCCACAAATCATCTTCAGATATTGAATGCAAAAGATTTCAGATAAAATTTTTTTATTCGTTGAGAATCACATCTTCTTGATAACGGAAATTACATCTAATATATCTCAATAATATATTTGTTTAGATACATATACACACAAAGAAGTACACATTTATTTTAAATTATTATTTAATATATATTTATTGAAATTTTAACTTATATATACATAAAGTCTTAAATATAAAATAATTCACAATATCATTATACAAACAGAAGTATTAAAATAGATCATTCAACGCATTTGAGTTCAATTTTTCTGAAATAAATTATATGTATGAAACTTTTTAAAAAATAAATTATATAAAAAATATGGTATAATTATAGTGTTTTGCATATAAATGGCTTGGGGAGTGGCGGTGCAGTGAGCTCTATTAAAAGTTTACTCTGGAGCTATTACTTTAGTTTAACATTTAACTCTGAAGATTACTCTACCAGGGAAGGTGAGACAGTTTTCAGCTTCAAAAACTTGCCGCAAAGCATGGAACGAGCGGTGCCCTAGAACCAAATTGGAATAAAATACAATCGCAGCGCAAACTTCAGACAACCGAGAGGCGAATGGCAAAATAGGACTAGGGCACCTCGTCTTGAGTCAAAAGACCTCCTTAGCAAGAGGTTAGCAGCTAACCTCTAGGTAAGGAGATAGCGAACCGTTTGCTATCTCCTCGCTGAAGAGTACGCTTGAAGTTGTCCACGTTGAGTTGGATACTATGACACACATGTTGCTCATGGTGTTTCCACTAGTTTATAGAAAATGAATACCTTTGTAATGCTCGCCAATTGGAATTCCAAAAGATCTAGATCCAGATGAATGATCATAGGTGTGCTGTATTCTCACTGACTGTTATGCTTTTATTTATGTGTCTAAGACGATGCTGCTGTTAAATTGCATCACCTTACAAGGGTGCTGCACTGCATGTTCTAACACTCTCTAGTCGTTATATTATCGTTACATGTTGATATAAAGTAAACATGTCAAACTCGATCTTGTATATAAAACAATGATGGATTTCTCAAGTGGTTCGCAGATGTGCTTGCACAAAGTAGAAGTATGTAGTAAGAGAACCTTGCCTCTTCTGGATACTCAAATTATCTAACATTGGGCTTGTCCTTAAAGACAACTGCCTCTCGTTCACAAAGGAGCAATAATTTAATATTGACAGAATTTGTCACAGGAAGTTACGGGATGCGTAATATGCGTTCCTGACTGACTGCAGAGGTTTTTGAGCCCTAAATCAAGCAAAGTAGCCTTAGCTTGTTTGTTCCAATAACATGTATTCTTATTCAACGTTGAAACTTGCGATTTCTTGAATCTTATTTGGAAATAAGCACTTTTGGGAAATATCCAGGTCCACAGTATTTCATTTCTTTCAGGGAATTTGGAGGGAGAGTTGGAGATGCCAGTGCAGTTTTCGTTTTACTTCTCTGCTAATCTGTGTCTTGGGATTTGCCATCGTTTTACTAATATAGTCGTTGACATGTATTTCACTAATCTTATGTACAAATCCAATTCTTTCGTTGCAGTCATTTTGAAGTCTTGATTTTATTTTATTCTATCGAAAATTGCCAAGAACGACGGTCCGCATGACACTCTTTATCCTCACTCTGGTGAACGGAATTTGCTGACTCTCTAGTTGCATCTTAACACACAATCTCCTCTGTATCCAAAGTACAACAAAATCTTGTTCTCGCTTCTCCTACGATGTCACTAGATGTTGTAATTCGAATTTGCAGGGTTTGGTTGAGGCTTGGATTTTCCAGTTCGTTATTACTTTTAGCGCACTTCTCTGCAAAATAAGACGACGTGAGTTTCACTGTCATGTTCTGTCCAAAAGCACATCATCATGATTTCTTTCAGTGATCATGGACAAACCCCGATCTCACATGCTCACTTTCCGCTATCCACAAGCCAGAGTTGAAATAATATCCATCGGTAGAACACTTCAGCTGGAAATAGGTTTGATGTAGCCATATAATCTCGCGTTTTTTTGAAATACTTGGTTTACATGACTATCTTTGGGATCATACATATATAATCATGATGTCTAGGAAACACAAGAATTAGAATGATTTCTGGAAGCCTTAACCATAATGTATACGCTAGAAATTGTTGATAACAAGTGATTTCTTGATTGCATATCACACCTAATATGGAATTGGTCATAGTAAGTCACGAGCACTTCATTGAAAACCATCATATCTGAGTATGTGAAATTCAAGCATCATTCAAATCATGGATTTCACATGAATGAATGTGTAATCCATTGTGACTTGTACAAATAACAGGTTTGTCGAAGAGGGACGGCCGGTTACGGTATGTAACTCTACGAAGGGGCTACGATGAAAATGCTGCGTGTGAAGATAGTAACCTGGCAACTGCTGCACGTATTCAAATCTGAAGCCATGGTGAAAATAAGCGCGCCACTTTCCGTATCGATGGATTTCGAATACAGTACGTACAGAAATAGTGTCAAACGTTATGGTACCCTACTCTCGAGGTTCTGATAATACTCACCCTGTCAGAATTCGTCGAAGACTGTTCGGAGCCATGATTGAAGCATACGGTACAATTATCCTTTGACATGTACTTGTGCGCTGACAGGTTACAGAGGAATTGATGTTTCCAATCTGCTTTACTGGCAGGGGAGAGCAGGAGGCCCGAGATCTACACCATTGGATTCCTTCGTGCGGCGGCCATGATGCTCGATAACAGCCTCCCGACAAAGCATGTTTACATTATTCGTCGAGTCTTGGACACGTCCGGTTTCGAGGTTGGCTCTCTGGCGCGGCTCTCGTACAACATGAAGCACCGGATTTGGAAGGAACTGAGCTTCGGTAGACTAATGGCATGAGTAAATATAGCGATAGCAGCAACAGCAATTGCGTTGAAGCCTCTGTCTCTCACCAAAGCTGGTGTAGTTTTGTTTTGGACTCGGAGTGAAGATTCCTCAATATGGCGAGTGGAAATAGTGAATGATCGTGGTTGAACCACGAACCAGAGACTCATGAGCAGAGCGAGTGTATCTGTGGTTCAAATCAGTACTCGCTTCACTTGCGTGAGATTGCAGATGACTTACGATAGACTTCTGCGACTGAGACTACAGGGAAGAAGCATCATTCTCTTTACCTCAATGGGTCTTGATAATCGTCACCTCAATGAGGCTTACCAATGAGGTAAAAGGACTACAGGAGTTTTATCTATCTAAATAAAATGTGGTCTCGTCGAAATTAGAGTCTAACCGTATGATACGTTGTCCAACTTTCTTTGCCTAGTGTTTTGGATCCTATGGTCTGATCTATATCAATTTTCGGTATTGCAATTGTACAATTTTTTTCAGAAAGCATCCATTGTTCAAAGATTCGTGTTATTGTTTGATCGGAATGCATCTATTAACCTCTGGAGACAGCACCCTAACAAGGTTTAGGTGCAGGGATACTAACTTGATTCCTTGGGTACCGCTCCTTTTCTCTCCAACTTCTTACCTTACTCGAGATCATCAGGAGGTAAGATAATTTTCAACAATCATTTTCTTCAGCTGAAATGCATCCCGTGAACTGCTGCCACAGTCTGTTTGTAGTTCACTTCTATTTGAGTTTCTTGCTATTTTAAGATGTATTTGTTTTGATCCTTCGCGGACCATTGTGCACCATTGATCCACTTACGTGATATTTGCTCCCAGTGTCAACGCTGGGCCAAAGAGTTCCAAATTCAAACTTGGATTTGACTCCTTGATTCGTAGCTTAGACAAATAGTGAATTCTCGTGCGGTTGTAGAGCAGTGGCCTGTTACTAACGGGACAGTATCGAATTCAATTGTGAAGAGGAAGTCAACTTCTTCTCAGTTTGGTCGAGTTCTGAAAAATCTCTTCTTCATACAGTGTCGAAGGTTGTGCACCGATGTTACAAGTGCCCGCATTTGAAAGTCGGACGATGATGACTGACGAACGATTGGTATTGCAGGTCCCAAAGTGCATCAAGTACAGACTGCAGAGCGTAGACGATGCTGCCAAGATCAAGTGGATCCACTTCGCAAACCCAGCCCGTAGATAGTAATCCTGCTGATCAGAGAAGACGGATATGGCTGAATCCAAACCTTATCTCTTTTTCAGTAGCAAAGATACCGTTCACATTGAACCGGTACCAGAACAAACCAGTACTTACCCTGACAGAAGCCCTGCAGAAACTACGAAGAGGAGACATGAAAGTGCAAGATTTTCCTACCATGTCAGTTGTTTCTGTCCCTTACGGGACCGACTCGAAGTATTACACCTTGGACAACAGAAGACTCTGGATATTCAGGGAGTACGGTCAAAAGATCGAAGTTATAATAGAGGAGCCTACTGACGAATTCTGTTTCAAGCTGACCACCGTACAATGTGCTGAAACCGTATGTATAGTTGACCATGTGGAAGAGAACCATGAATTCAAGGAGAGTTCTTCGTTTCTGTCCAAAGTGCTTCGATGGTCAATCGATAACATTAAAGATGACCATTATTACAAAGCCCAGGTGTGTCCCAGACAACTGGAAGTAGACCGGGCAAGGCCCAATTCTCTGTTCTTCACCAGTACCTGATCCCTACTAACTTTGCATTGTATGCATATAGTGCATCATACGCTCCGTCATGAGACTGATGTTCTCTTGCCACTTGATTTTGATCTACAGATGAGGCTGATTCCACCAAGATTTGAAAATTTGAAGGCCTATTTCGAATCGTTTTTGTGGCCGATGGTTGAAGACACAAAAGCAGAGATTTGCAAGAGTCTACAGCTTGTGGAACAGAGTTCTAGAAGATTTGCTCTCAAGTGCTCAATATATGAGTTGCAAATTCCTCAGAACAATCAGGTGCACATGGGCCAGTTTGATCTGAAAAAATTTCTACTGGTGACCGACTTGAAACATTACAACACTCAGTTTTCAGGTCGAGTCCACGACTGGAAACACAAGAAGTGGGATTTGGTTCTCATGTGTACATCTCTACCCAAAAGCTTCATCGAACTCCAGGATGCGAGTCAATGCTACACTCTGGGCGTGCTCACCTCTTCTGGGGGACAGTCAAAGTTGCGAAATGTCCCTGCTGTCTTGAAAGTCACTGCCTTCTGTCCGAATAAAGGTGAAGGTAAATTGGTCCGAGCTATAACTCGAAGCGGCAGCAAGTGGTACATTGTTGTTCTGACCAATCTTTCTACTGCACTCCGAACTTGGGACGCTTTGAACCCGGACCTACATTCTGCTCTTGACAGACTTCGATTGGTTAGCGAGACTCTGTACAGCACTTGCGAAGATCAATACCAGAGCACGATCTTTAATCTAGATAATGGACATTTGGGGAGTTCAGACAAGGATAGTGCTGGTCATATGAATCTAGTTCAAAGCATTCAGCAGTTTTGTTCCGGAAGAGACTTGAATCATTCACAAACAGAAGCGGTTGTGACAACAGCCTCTGCGCTGCACTTTGGTAGCGAACCAAAGGTGAGACTGATAAAGGGGCCTCCAGGGACAGGGAAAACAGCTACTGTGGTCACATTTTTATCTGTTATTACGTGCTTGCTATACAGGACCTTGGTCTGCGCCAGCGCTAACAGGGCTATTTGTGAGGTCGCACAAAGGTTTGTATACCTTGTGAACCGCATGCCCAGTCCTGAGAAATCTTTTCAGTACTATCCCTTTTTCACCTCGTACGGTTGTGAAGGAGCTTGTAAGTCTCTGAAGCTGGGTGATGTAGTCCTTGTGGGAAACGATGAAAGACTAGAGGTGGATACTACCCTGAGCATGATATATCTTCCATTCAGGGTCAAGAGATTATCAGAAGCAATTCTCCACTCAAGAGGTTGGCGACAGTCGCTGCAGAATGTGCTCAAGCTTGTTAAGGATCCCGCACACCAATTCGAAGCAATAAATAAGACTCGGGAAATCGGAAGTATAAATCATGCCAGGGCATTCCTGCAGTTCTTTAAAGAGGGACTTTTATGTTGGGGCAGTCAATTGATTTTGTCTGGGTATATAATCTGCCGTGACTTACCCAAGAATTTACTGAACCCTGCAATGAGCTGTTATGTGAGCATGACATGTGCTGCTGTTGCCGATGCCTTAGAGAACCTACCATCAGAGTCTGACCTTTCGGAAGAACAAGCTTGGAGCTGGTTCAAAGTATTGTGGAACCCTGGAGCTCAGGGTGAATATCGGAAGTCCATTGTCGGGGATAGTTTCAGGGAGGAGATTCATATGTCGCTGATGCTTCGAAAGGTGCACGCCTTTCTATCCTCTCCATTCAAAGAGAGGGTTTCAAGGCTCCTCTCCAGCTTAAATGAAGACAATCTGGAGGACAAGTGTCTGCAGCACGCCTGTGTGGTGTTCTGCACAATTGCCTCAGCTGGACGTCTATGCGTTCAAAATTCTGGACCTTTCAAGTCTTTGGTCATAGATGAGGCTTCACAGCTCGTAGAGGCAGAAACAGCCATTGTGACACAACTACCTGGTCTCCAGCAAGTTCTCCTCGTCGGAGATGAAAAGCAACTACCGGCTACTGTTGTAAGCATGGTGAGTGGCGTTTATCATCAAAGAGTTTGTAGCGTCCACTCCATGATGACTCGGATTTGACCTGTCAATATACTTATCCTTGATATTCGCCTTCAAATGTGTTTCTTGTGTGCTGGACAGAGTAGTAGCGAGCAGCAGAAAGTTGCTCACAGTAAAAGTGAGACTAAGCTTCTCTCAAGGCAAGGGGATTAATCTCGAGTTTTGTTACTGAAGTGATATGACCTTGAAAACTAATCCACGTCAATAACTGGGATTTTCCAGATGGCTAAAGATATTGGCTATTGCCGAAGTTTATTTGAGAGACTTCAGGTTGTTGGGCACCCTCACCAGCTGTTGAATACCCAATACAGGATGCATTCGGATATCAGTCGGTTCCCAAACCGTCAGTTCTATGAAAAATGTCTGGAGGATGGCGAAAATGTTACAAGTGTGATGTATGTCAAGCCCTATCAAGCACAATATGGTCCTTACTGCTTCATAAATGTGGCGGATGGCAAGGAAGAAAGGGATAGGAACGAAAGCTCCGCCAAAAATTTGGTTGAAGTTGAAGTACTCTACTACTTGCTGACAAAGTTACAAACAGGTAATCGAAATCTCGTTTGTTTTGAATATAGGCCGTCCAAAGTACAGAAGCGCTAATGCTCGGTTTGTACCACTTTGTCTTAGTTTCCCTGCAAATGAATTTACTCAATCCATGTTCATGGTTTGCTTAACAGACAAAGTCTTCTGTGGGTCTAGGATGTTCGTAGTTTGGATTTGTTTCCCGCACATGAGTTTCCTATTATTGCTGCTTACGCAGCCTCCTGTTTAGTCTTTTATGTTTTCACATGAAAGCAAATTGATTATTGTGACTGGAATTTACTCTTCGGTACCAACTCAATTATATTACCACAGAACTAATCAACAAGAGACCTAGTTCGCCATTTGACCTCTGGACAGATGACAGAAACTCAGAACAATGAGGATTCTTTCTAGCATCTTCCATCATACGACGTGAGGATCTAAAGGCTGTTGGCTCGACATGGTCATCGAAGCAAACGCCTTGCGGTTCCAATGGGTGGACATCAATGGTTTGGTGCTCATGACAGCAAAGTCCATACCTATCAATTTCACCGGTGTCGGCTTCTCGACGCTTACAATATAGTCTTTGCGTTCTCGTTTTTTTCTTGTCATGTTCTGTGTCTTAGTAGTCCGACTTACAGATTTCTCTTATGATACTGGGTTTCATACGCACACTTGCTCTTATCTTCGTAATCATGACAAGAAATTTTCTTGTAAACTTGGTGTTATTATAGCTTGTGAAGGTCATGCGATTACATCCACTAGTGTTGGCATCATCACACCATATGCAAGCCAGGTTGACGCCTTGAGCAAGAGACTTTGTCATGGCGGTGGGGATCCTTTGAAGCGCTTTCCGAATCTTCACGTGGAGATCAAAACCGTAGATGGGTTCCAAGGTGGAGAAAGAGATGTAATTTTATTCTCGACTGTACGGGCAAATGTGGAAGGAAAGATAGGATTTCTCACAGATTGTCGAAGACTGAATGTGGCTCTTACCCGTGCAAGGTAACTGTCTTCTTTGTTATTGTAGAGCCTAAGTGTGGCTGCAATGACTGTCTGAGCTACAATTCGTAGTCACTTAGTCATATGATTGTGTTGGCTGTCGCCTTTTATCAGGTACTGTCTTTGGATAGTCGGCCATGCTGCAACTTTGGGAGCAACGAGGGATGGAATATGGACCCATGTGCTCAACGATGCAAAATCGAGGAACTGCTTCAAAGACGCGAAAGATGATGAAGATATGTTTAGATCTTATCGACATCTTGAGCGCTTCAGCAACCAGGAATCTGACAAGGATAACGTTGGCGAAAGTTCAGCGAAGAGGATGAAGGTGACCTAGTCCCAGAAAGACTCCTTTCCTGTAGAATATGTATGTACTATGTAGAAAATCCCCACTCACAAATTCAAGCCCCTGACGCGTAGATAGATGATATGACCATGAAGTCCAGCTCAAAACCTTGAACATAACTGTAGATATGAGCTGGGATCGTGATTTGTAGTCTACTTCGCTTTCTTGATGGTAGTAGCTACTAAAAAGGGCTTTTGAAGATGCCTGTTTATTGGGAATAGAAACCTCCAGAAATAACGAGATTGAACTCATGATATAAGATTAGGATCGTCTATCCTAGAATGGGATGAAGATAAATATTACACCTTCCCATGCTTACTTCTCAGAGGGCCCATGTTCTGAGCACGTGTAGTTTTCAGTTGTTGGTTGAATCCACGTAATCCCTCGTGAAGGGCGGTTCACCTTTTTGACCCTCAGCCAATTCTTGCCGCTCAGTTAAGTCCACCCTGTTTGTATGTCGGTCCTTGTACCTCGTTTATAATTGTCTACCAAATTGTTTCTGCCAGTAGAGGAGTTTCATTCTGTTCCAGGTTGTAGGTTTTTGTGATTCTTACGTGGTCTTCAGTCCTACAGCAGATCATGTTTAACCAAACTAATCAGTCGCAAGGTTCCTAGAAGAACGAGTGTGTGCATCACGTTCGTTGGATGTACGAGTTTGAACATGAAGGTCATTGCTCGTGGTGGATAAGGGAACTACGGATGCATGAAACTGAAGAACTGCGAGACGTTTTTCCGGAATCTCGCCTGCTTTGCGCTGAAGTTACAAACTTTCCCCCTTTTGGAAGAATCTTTTTAAAGCCAATATCATCTGATAATAAGTTTGACAATGGCTACATGTACGTAGGGCAATTTAAACAACTCCTTCACTCTCTTGTTACAGACTAAACAAAAGGCTAAACCTTTGTACAGCTTCTCTCTGCAGTCTTAGATATATAGACGAGAATTATTTAGACCCCTCCTATCTCTGAACTTGAGATCGGTCGTAGAGCTGCTTATTCTCCTCGTCCACATTGTGTGAGTGTAGTGCAGGCGACATAGCGTTTACGTGGGAAGGGCATTTAAGTCCGTGTGGAATGAGCTTATGTGTTATAGTGTCTCCTTTATGCTATAGATCCCCATACCAGGTTGTTGCCTCCAAGCAGCGCCAGTGATGTCTTCACCCTCCACGCAGTCGGTCACCACATCAGTTTCACGCACTCTTCGCTTTTTCAAGGCACTTGCTCACGTTGGTTTATCTTATGTCCGACACGTAGACCTTCGGGCTTGTAACACCAGATGATTGAAATGAAGAATTCGCCACAATTCAACTCTGCAATATAGATGTATTTGTGCCCCGGGTAATGGTAGTTTCTCGGATGTCCACTCCATATCAGCCATCAGCTAAGAATATTTTGAAGGCCAGGTTGATGGGCAGAGCCGGCGAGGAGCATGAGAGCGTGCATGTTGTTCACCCTCAATCTCATGATACACACACCTGCCAAATTCTCATCCCGACAAGTTCCCTGCCATAACCCCGCCTTGCTCTTTCTTCATACAAATGCGACATTCTATTGAATCTCTCATAGGCACTTGTTACATACCATCTGAATACATATTGAGGTTGACATTCTGTTGACACCATAGTTCAAATACGAAGCCATTGAAAGCAAAACATCACATCACAAACTTGAGAACTACTTCAAACTATCTTTGTTGGTTTTCAAAACTTAAAGGTAGTTGAATATGGTCGATTGAAATTTCTCTGTAACATTTTATTTTGATTTTCAATTTTAATGCGAAGTAATCGTTACCGTAAGATCTATTCACCACCACTTGGAATTTTAACCTGAAACTAACGAACGAGTTCTCAGGTTCAAAACTTGGAGTTTCAAGTAGTGGTGAGTAAATCTTACAATAAAAATTCCTTCGCGCTAGAGTTGGAACTCAAATTAAAATTTTACACTGAGGTTTAAGTCGGTTGGGTATAATTACTTGTAAATTCTGAGATCCGAAGGAAGTGGTGTGAATGAGTTCTCAGGTTTGGAGTTTGGAGTTTCAAGTTGTGGTGAGTAGATTTTGCGATAACAATTCTTTCGTGCTAGAGTTGGAATCCAAGTTGAAATTTTGCAGAGAGATTTCAGTTGTTTGGGTGCAACTACTTGTAAATTTTGAAATCCAACGGAGTTAGTGTGAACGATGTCTCAAGTTCGGAGCTTGGAGTTTCAAGTTGTGTTGAGTAGATATTGTGATAGCAATTCTTTCGCGTTGGAGTTGAAAATCCAGCTGAAATTTTGTAGGAAGATTTCAGACTTCTGAGCGCAACTTCTTGTAAATTTTGAGAACCAACAGAAGTGGTGTAAACAAGTTCTCAAGTTCGAAGCTTGGAGTTTCAGGCTGTGGTGAGTAGATCTTGCAGTAGCAATTCTTTTGCGCTGCAATTGAAACTCGAGCTGAAATTTTGCAGAGAGATTTTGATCGGCTAGGTGCAACTATTTGTAAATTTTGAGATCCAACGGAGATGGTGTGAACAAGTTCTCAAGTTCGGAGCTTGGAGTTTCAGGTTGTGGTGAGTAGATCTTGCAGTAGCAATTCTTTTGCGCTGCAGTTGAAACTCAAGCTGAAATTTTGCAGAGAGATTTTGGTCGGCTAGGTGCAACTATTTGTAAATTTTGAGATCCAACGGAGGTGATGTGAACAAGTTCTCAAGTTCGGAGCTTGGAGTTTCAGGTTGTGATGAGTAGATCTTGAGGTAGCAATTCTTTCGCACTGGAATTGAAATTCAAGCTGAAATTTTGCCGAGAGCTTTCAATTAGCTGGACTCAATTACTTGTAAATTTTGAGATCCAACGGAAGTGATGTGAACAAGTTTTCAAGTTCGGAGCTTGGAGTTTCATGTTGTGATGAGTAGATCTTGCGGTAGCAATTTTTTCGCACTGAAATTGAAATTCAAGCTGAAATTTTGCCGAGAGCTTTTAATCAGCTGGACACAACTACTTGTAAATTTTGAGATCCAACGGAGGTGGTTTGAAAGAGTTCTTAGGTTTGGAAATTACATTTTGGTTTTGAAAATATGATTTTTTTTCTAAACCATACAAGATGACATCTCAAGATAACCTTGCAAATTTTTTTCAAATGATTTTAGAAGAACTGTAAGTGCTCCGCCAAGAATTCAAGGTACAAAATATTGCCTTGACTGCTGCAAAGAATGAAATTCGAGAGTTGAAGATTTCTCACAAAATTTTTGAGAAAATCATGTTTAAAATCTCTAGATTTGTTGAGAATATTCAAGAGAAATTTGGTTCTCAAGCTTCTACTGTTATTACTTCTGGTTTGCATGAAGTTTTGAAGGTCTAGAGATATAAATGAAATCTTGTGCTGAAGCAACCAAGTCTGCTCATATCTCTTTCTATCAAGAACAAGAGATTGAAAAGACTAATCAATTTGCTCGTAGAAATAATGTGAGTATTTGTGGTCTACCTGAATCTGAAAAGGAAGAAATGAAGAGTGTTGTCACCAAGTTCTTGGCTGAAGCACTTGATGTTCCTAATCCAAATTTGGCTCAAGCTTTTTGTATTGGCAAGAAAGGAGCACAACCTTGTGCCATTATTGTTAATTTTGTAGATTAAGCTCAACGTGATATTGTTTTAGCTAACAATGTCATTCTCAATCGACGGAAGATTTGGTTAGATCCAGATGTTACATCTTTTCAAATTGAAGCAATGAGGAAGCAACTTGCAAAAGTCAAAGAAGTTCAAGATGCAGATTTTGTACCTTATCTTAGTGATAGTCAAGTTATTATCACTTAGAGGAGGAGACAATCATCAACCTAGCAATTCAAGAGGTTGAGGATGTTGATGTGGAACATAAGAGGTCTATCTACAACAAAGTATGTGAGTGCACATCCAATTTGGGAGATGGCGGACATCCTCAACATTGTAGAGACTTGGGAGCATGAGAGCAATGTTATTGAAGAGATACAAAGGTTTACTTTGATGAGATCTACTTTTAACCAAAGAAATCTACGAGCAACAAGAGGCTTTGGAGGCATTGCTACTTTCATCATATCTGGACTTCTTCTATGATAAATTTTGAAATCCAAGATATTGGGAAACAATATCATTGATTTCGTCTTGGATTGATTGAAGAATCTTATATTTATTTGGCAGTTTGTTACTTTTCTTCATTAACCATGCAGATCTATTCCACAAGCACTTGCAATCAAAGTCAATCATTCCATTGATTCATAGTAGATGTTCTCAAATATCAAGAAGCAAGCATAGATCAAGATATCAAGATCAATATCAAGATCTTATGCTTGTTAATTGTAAGCAAGGATATATACTTGCAAAGATTTCTACTTTTTTACGTCATATTATTGCTAGGCATAGAACAGTATCTCATAGTCTTGGGATTTACAAAGTGCGTTGGTTGAAAATTGATAGGAGTGAACGTATTTGTAGACTATGTGATGGAAGAAAAGCTGAGGATGAAGAGCATGTATTTCTTACTTGTACTAGATATGTAGAGATTAGAGTGGCTCATAAAGTTGTTGTTGAGAATTTTTATTCTTTGCTTCAATTTGAGCCTTATGATTTAGGTTGTTACATTAGGGATGTTATTAGTTATTGTTCTAGTGCTCTTTGCACTAGCTATGGGGTTCTTTCGGTTCTCTCCTAGGTTGGAGTTGGATTGTTTGTATTGTGCTTTTAAGACTTTTGACCCCTTGGGTCCCATAGGCTTGGTCTATTAACCATCCATCATTGCAAATTAGTGTACAAATCATGAAGCTGAAGAAGAGGTATCATACGTTCATGAACTTGTCATTTGTTCGATAGTTTTGGCAAAAACATCTAGCATTGTTTTAACCACTTTGAAAGCTTGCTTTGCTTATAATCATGAGATTTGATTTTCAACTACTACAAATATATTTGTGAAAATGGAATGAGTAAGAGATAATAATTCTAGTAATATGTCATATGTGAACTTTATTCTCTAGCTATTTTAAATTTTCTTTAGTTAATTTAAATTAAAGTATAAATTATTCACGATGAAATCATTATTATTTTAGAGTTCATTAATTCTTGTTATCACGTAAATGATAAAGAGAGTAATTCTGTTAAATGAAAATGTCATATCAACAATTCATGCGTTTGATAGTTATTGTAGATTGTAATTGTGTTAATTGAAAGTTTCACGTCAACGATCCGTGTAACTGTGAGAATTATCTGCAATATTATCCATCTATTAGGAATGAAATGGATGTAGATATGAGAATTTCTTTCTTTCATTTTTTCGTAAGATCTATATAAACGAGAAGATAATCATTGTTGGTAACTTTGATTTTCAAAATTTAAAAAAAATGTTAGAGTAGAGCAAGGAAAATTTCAAAGAGTAGAGCAAGGAAAATTTTAGAGTATGTATAATTAAGATCAATATTTATTTATATCATTTTCATGTTTCTGATTTGGTTGTAAAAATGTTCATGAGATCTTAATTTACAAATAAGGCTCTTACATGATACAATAGATGTGAACAAATATTTTTTTAAACGAGATGTTTCCACTCCATGAAATGGAATTTTGGATAGACTTTTGCAAAATTTTCAAGCGGTGTATTTTCTTAAATTGTAAGAATGAAATTTTGATATTTAAGGCAGAAAAAAATTTCATAAATGCATTACAGAATTTTGTGATATTCAAATATTTATCATGGATATGAGTGAAGTAAAAACCTTGAATGTATTCGAACCTGGTTCAAATAATTGCATTCAGAAGAAATTGATGATAAGCAATCCATTCACAATGAATGAAATAATTGCTCAACAAATTTTGATTATTTATGTTGTTACAAATGTTGAATCATTAAACACTTATTGAGATTTATCTGATACTACCCCCATGGATCTAGAAAACCTTTGACCTACTTGAAAAAAAACATGTCAAAATTTTTTCTAGAATTCTATTGTACACAAAATGTAGATTGAAGAAAAGATTCAAAGGAATTTATTCAAGTTTTTGTATAACTCATGTTAGGTTAATTCCTTATAACTAGGTTGATAAAACTTAAACTTTATAAAAGAGCTCAGAGAAGCTCTTAATGACACTTTTTTTCAATAAAGCTTGAGATGTTTCCTGATTTCATGTGAGAGTTCTAGCGTTGACGGCACTACTTTTTTATCGGGGCATAAATTCACTTTAGCTGAAATTTATAGCAAAATAATCACTTTGGAAACAACAGTTTTGATTATGCATATGGATAACAAATGAGTGGCTTAACAAATATATCATCCACTTATATGATATTATTTTGGTAAAGTTTTAGTTCTACTTAACTCTAGTTGACACAAAAAATTAGAATTTTGAAAAAAAATAATTTTACAAAGTAGTCTTGCAGCTAATTTATGATATAGATCTCAATATGTGAATCAAATAATAGATTAATTTATCTTAGTTTGTTTTACTATAATTAGTTAAAGTAGTTAGCTAGCGTAAAATAGGAAAGTTAGATTAAAAAACTATGTGGATGGATGTATCTTGCTGAAATCAAACACATGTTTCATTTGTCCACAATATGTTTTTGAGTGTGACTTTTCTTGCGATTTTTGAATCGGACCATCAAATTGGGCAAACAAGGAACATGGGCTATACTTCAAATTTGCATTTCGAAGTTACTGAAATCATTATTAGTGAACTTATGCTACAGAAAAACATAAATTTTACTTACAATATGAAATAACAAGTATGCATCACAAATATTATCAATTAAGCTTGCAATCTAGTCTCTTCTATCAAGTAGGGATAACATCAATCTTGCTCCCTTGGTTATTTCTCACGCAATACCTTGAGATTGAAATTTTTGCACTTAGTTGCCAAAGGATGGCTATGTGTAATGACTAGGCTTTTTTGGTGAGATCAGAACTCATAAAGAGCTTGGATTCAATGTACTCTTTTTTAGAGCTCCACTCCCACCTTCCCACTTGGGGCAAAAGAAATGAAAAAAGAATTGCAAAATCAAATGATGCGATGTGAGAAACTTCACAAAGCACGTGATAATATATGAACCGATTTCAAAACCTGCGATGGGACAATTGAGCAACGTAGTGGTAGGGAGATATACCCTCTAGTACTTTTTCTTCGTTCGACTGTTCATACTCTTATGGTAAATGGTAAATAGACAAGCCCGTGGGACCCAAAGGATCAAAAGGCTGAAAAACACAATACAAAAAATCCAACCCCAACCTAGGAGAGAACCAAAAGAATCTACTAACTAGTGCCAAGAGCACTATAACGGTAATTATACTATCATCAAATTCTAGTCACTGCGAAGACCACAAAAAAAGTCATCCGGAACTTGATATTTCTGATGTCGTGAACAATCCGTGGGCTTTGGATCTCGAGCTAAAATAGATGCCCATGCAAGCCTTGACATGTCAAAAGGTCGGGATGGAGGACCAAGGGATTGGGATGGAGGACCAAGGGATGAAAGCAAACGTTTTGTACTGCATTTAAATACGCATGTATTAGAGTCCGCCAGCGAGGACGTTTTACTCAACTTTTCTTCTATTAAAGATAGAGTCAAATCCTTGAATGGTGCTACCCGACCACGAAACGTAGTGCAGCATGCACAAGACACAAATCCAAGTACCGCAGCAGGAAATATCTTCTTGTGCGAATCATACAGAAGGACCATAATCTCTTTATGGTCGAGACGACAAACATTGACCCGTACAGCAGTCGTGAGAACGCATTCGGTCGGCTATGTGAATCTATCAGAGCATGCTCCTGGCAAAAACCCGAGAGCATTGTATGTAGAGTCGAAGGCACAACCTCAAAAGGCATGTCTAATTCGCATTTTCCATGAGTCATATATAAACAAATTTATATGTATATTCTAGAGTTATAGATATATTTTAAGGTTATATAGACGTGTGATATGAGAGGAATTAAAACTGGACGTTAGACAATTTAGGAAGAGATTTTCTTTGATTCGTTGCATAGATACTTGGAGACTCTGCTTTAGTCTGTTCTGGGTTTTAAACTTTCAATTTTGTGTTGATTGATTCTACTTATAAGAGAGAATTTTTTCCATAGAAGTATATTTTTTGGTAAGTCAAATGTATGAATTGTAATAACACATGACTTTTGATCTTGAAAGGGAGCATGCCCCGAATATTTTTGTTTTGCCACCGACTAGGTTCCTCGTCCGGATTCGTCGATCTGTTACTTTGCGAAAGTTTCAAAGAACGCCAACCCTTCAAAGCGAGGCGCCTTTAAACTGGAACTCCCTTGCCCTCGTCACTAAACTTCTGGCTAGATCAACCCCGACCGTATTCCATCCGTGCGGACGGCAAGGGTACACCGTTTGCGGATCACCGTCACTGTCACCCAGGTTTCACCGTCACCGTAACCCAGGGTTTAGCATTTCGTACGGATTTAGCATTTCGCGCGCTCGGTCTCTTACTCAGACAGAATGCGCAAGTTTCACACGAGTTTCACACGTTTAGGGTGCGCAATTCTGATTTGCGTTGCGCCGCGTTGCAGCAGGTGAAGCGTTTGAGCACGGAGTTCCGATAAGGAATCAACCTGAATCAATTGATTGTCACAATTTACGGACCGACCGAGAGATGTACAGTTGTACTTGGCATCTCGTCTGACCCTTTTGTGTTGCTGTGTAGACTGCACGGATTTCTGGAACGAGGCTTTCAGGGACGTATGATGAGGAACGACCGCGAGCCGACCGCAAACCGAACTTCTGGAATTTTTTGTGGCACAGTTTTTTGAGAAATTCAATGAGCCTATTCTGTTTTGCAACAATCTCTCGGGCAAAGTTCATCCTGTAAAGCCTTTTATCTGATTTCATTGCTCATTTTTATTCATTGGCAACCTGTAAGCTGCAGGAGCACGAAAGTATTGAAACTTGTGGCACTGCTCTTCAACGCAAATCAGATCAGTTTAGGATGCGCAGATCTAATTTGCGTTGCGCCGCGTTGCGTTGCAGTAGGTGAAGCGTTTGAGCACGGACTTCCGATCAGGAATCAACCTCAATCAATTGATTGTCACAATTTACAGACCGACCGAGAGATGTACAGTTGTACTTGGCATCTCGTCTGACCCTTTTGTGTTGCTGTGTAGACTGCACGGATTTCTGAAACGAGGCTTTTAGGGCCGTGTGATGAGGAACGACCGCGAGCCGACCGCAAACCGAACTTCTGGAATTTTTTGTACAGGCACCATCATATTCTTTATATCTCAAACTTTCAAGTATAATCTATGTTATAATAAGATTCAGTTCTTAATGCTTTGGTTCGTTAAATATGTTATTAGCGTAGTGACGTGAACTGCAACACCACATGTCGACTGCTGTTTTTCTCACATCACCATCGAGTCGATCTTTCCTCTTTAGGCTTACAAGTGGTTGTCAGAAGACAACTTTGCTGCTTTCAATGCTTCCTCTTTTGTGGTTGATGAAGTCCTCCGCTTTTGTTTCCTTGTCGTGGTGGAGAAACTGCCTTTGTGATTACAGAAACAGGAATAAAGGCATTTAAAGTGAACACACCCGTGTTTGTGCTTAGTTCATAAGCCTTCGGGTCTACAACGACAGGGGTACTGCCAAGTATCCTTGCCAGCGTTTCATTTGTCCGCTCAAGTTTTTTTGAAGACTTCATATGAGAACAAGGCCTCAGGTTGAATGCAAGCAAGTGAGGGTCAACTGGTTATGGTATTTTCCGATAGTCTTCCTGATCTTTGCATTGACAAGATGACTGGAATGTCGGAGAACGAACTTCTGGAATTTTTTGTACATGCACCTTCATATTCCATCATTGGATGTGAAGATAGGAATGACTGCTGAGAGGTACGCGATGATCAACTCTGATCAAACACATGTAGAGTCCACAAGCTCCAAGCAAGATGAGCATGAAGAGCTTCCATACCTTCCTTTTTTCTGCCTGAATTTGAACTTTGGAATTCCGAATTTGAAGTACAGTTCTGTCAATCATATTCATAACTTGCTGGTTACTACTCTGCATGGACTTGAGTGAGTGATCAACTTGGAGTGCTGATAAAATGCTTATTGTCCATTGTACGGACAACTAATGTTTCCATCGACATCGGTGATGCGACCATAGAGCACAGTTATAATTAGAGCTTTGCTTTTGAGAAGATCGAGATACAGGGTAATGTGTCATACTTTGATCATGTTATTTGTTTTTTTCAGCTATGTCAAATCCTTAGCAGATGCCCTTCTAGATGAGTAGTGGTCTCTCATACAGCCGTTGCTGTCATCATCATCCATTGAATACGGTCAGTTAAGTCTCATGCAGGTTCAACTCTCCACTCTCGTGCCTCACATTTATACTTATCAAAAGGTGACCAGTTTCTATATGCTGCTTGATTTATAACATCAAGAGCAGGAACTGGCATATTCTTCATTTTCATTTCAGCTGTTGTTCAGATTCAGGCTTATTTTGACCACATCTTCAGTGTTCAGTCGTTGTTATCTGATTCCATGCTTATACTATTGGCTGTTTAGTCAAAGTATGAAGGCTATTAAGAGAAATTTAGAACTAACTTGTATTTGAATACTTTGGACTTTCCAGGATACAGCGGAAATAGAACAACTAATATATTTCCTTATAAATGAAGAAGCGTCCCAAGGAGTAATGCTGATGGGCCATAGCAGTGGATGCCAGGTTTTCCCTCTCAACCACTAATGTATCATGTGTCTTAACGGGTGTGGCTCCCATCTACTTAACGCAAAAGGCATTATTACTAATTCAAATGTGGATTTGGTTTATGTCTTGCTTCACAAAAGTTGTCCTTAAATTGTGTACTTTAACAGTGTCTGTTACAGAATATTGTTCACTATCTAAGAAGAAGAAGTAGTTGCTCGAAGGGTGTACGAGGAGTTATATTACAGGTATAATGAGAAACAAAAATCATTGCTCAATTGTTACATATTTGGCTGTGTGAACTGTTGCTTGCTCTTTCATTCCTTGTTGTTGAGGTTCTTACTAGTTGCTTCTGAATGTGAAAATGATTGGACTTGGGAATTGTCTGCAGGCACCTGTTAGTGACAGAGAATATAGAGCTACGATACCTGAAACACTTGGTCTCTTTGTTTCATCATTTGTTTGATGCTTGGTTGGCTGGCTGGCTGGCTGCCTACCTACCTTAGGGCTGCTATCATGGTGGACTTATGACACTATCCAGATAGCAGGGAGCATTTTTGGGGGTGCTCGCGAGGTGTCTATCGTATGCAGAGACGATTTCCTTGGCCACATTTATCCAATCAGAATTAGATCCTGATTGTATTTGTTCAACAAAAAAGTAACATTTGTGTCACAATGGATAGTAGAATTCCTGTTTAATCATCTCCTACAGAACATTCCATGCAGATGATTTGCAATGGGCTTGGGAAATGCATAAGTCTCTTGTGGAGTTAGCTCATATTCCAAGCGAAAGGGTAGACGATTTTGTGGATGGTGAAGGTAGAAGAAATATAGAATTTGAAACAAGCTTTTGGAAAAGACGAACCAATGACAAACCAGGCCCGAAAACTGCTTGGATAAAAATAGTAACTTATAGGTGTGCTTTTGGACCATTCAACCATCCTTCTCGAATTCCAGACACGATACCTAGAAAAGGCACCTATTCACCTCTCGGTATAGGTGAAAATAGTAGACCACGATCAAGAAAGGTTAACTTCAATGATCAATTGAAGAGAGGATGTCTTTGTAACTTTGTTGTTACATATTACAAATCAGAACCTGAGACTGCAGTCATATATTACAGACAAAGGTAAGAGTATTCCGTTTGAATGTTTTTACAGTCTGAACTTCTTGATGTATACATTATCATGGTGATGATGTTATTTCATAAATATGGATTAATATTAACTTGATGTTTTCATTTGTCTTGCAGTACTCATTGTAATGATAAAGGAGAAAGGTGTTACGGAAGAATTGCAGAAAACGAAGTTGTTCCTTGGAGTCCAAAGTGTGCATATGCTCCACGAATTACAAACGAGCTCAGACGAAACATAGAGCAACTTTTCAGATGGGGTTGGACAATTCCACAAGTTTTTGACATGCATTTGAAACAACAGATTCAAGTAGGAGGTCCAGACTGTCCTTTCAATGATCTTGCACCTCTTCCATGGTCCATAAGAGGAGCTAAATATGACACAATACATTTGAAAGATTTCCACAATATAAAAGCGAAGGTGGCAAGAGAAACTTATATGTTTCATGAAAACGATCAGCAGTCTGTGCAGATTTGGATTAATGCGCATCCGCATTTTGTGCTTCTACATCAACAGTATATCTCTGCAAATCCGTCCCAAGATTTCATGTTGGTTCTTCAATCCAAATGGCAGTTGGGTATGATGATTCACTACTCTCAAAATAAAACTCTTGCGTTGGACAGCACGTTTGCGACAACCAAGTATGATGTAAGTTTTCTTTCGGTTGTATTTTGAGTTGTTGATTTTATGAATATGACATTGTGTGGTGAAAGATTTGTTTAAATTGATCTGGTGTTGATTGTCATTATTTCAATTGGATTGAACTCCAGTAGATCAGCGTCATTTTGTGGTGTGGATCACTTTGACTTTTGCCATTTCAGTTCAGATTTATCTGGTGGGTGTATGCTTTATGTGAGGTATGTGCCATTTTTTCTCCTCCACATCTAACTTTTTTTTTCTGTGTTTTTCTTCTTGAACATGGTCTAGTATATATGCTCTAACTTAAAATTTTTACATTGGCAGAGAACACATAGGAAAAAAAAAACAGAAGTAGTTTTCTTTTCTGTCGAAACTACCTGACGTAGGTCTGATGAGTTATATTGATGAATATGACAGGAAGTAAACTTGCAAGTTATTTATGCAGAAGTTTGGTTACTATCCGGTGTTCTTTGTAGGTCTTCTACTTCCTTTCGGACTTGAAGGCTTGGACCTCATAGGTTTCTTCGAAATGATATCAGATCTTGGGGAAGGGACAATGGCGAGTAAAGCATTGTATCTCCAAAAGAACATGCTTGACTGCAAGAATTCAAGTACTTTATTCGGGTCTCAAGTACTCACTATACAGATACAGAGAACGATGGCACATCCTCTCTATATGCATATCGCAAAAGATACTAGCATGTAGTACATGCACTGTATGCATGATTTTGCATCATGAGACAAGCAGATGAAACTGCTTGTTTGTAGGAGAATACAAAAAATTGCCCGGAAATGTAATCAGTTGTTTGAAGTAATCCCTATTTAACATATGGTAACATGACAACTTATACTTAGATGTTTAGTTTGACTAGCTTTTGTCACTTTTCTCCTCCAACTAATTCTGCACAGTCAAAATGCAATTGGTTTCAATTTTTCTTTAGAATATTAATCAGTTTAGAATTGCAGTTAAAGTACACTAAAACTGAAGGCTAATAAGCGAAATGCTTGAAGAAAAAATAACATGCCTGAATTAAGGACAATGTTCAACTGTGATATGTTAGAAGGTAATGTTGACATTGATTTTCAAGTTGGACCCCAAACGGATATATTTTAGCAGCTTTATTTCTTGTGCACAATCGAGTTCCATTTGGTTTCAAGATAGGAATTACTAGTTCATATTTCCCATCTTCCATGTCTTCTTGAGACATGTTACTTGTTTGTACATTTTTTAGCAGAGTTTTGAATGTAGGTCTGCACACGGTTTAGTCTTATGCATTGTACAGTATAGTAGTTGTTGAAATAAATTGTACCAGTGAGTCACAAGTGCTCACTCACGTTCAAGTATTCTCTAGAAGCCAAGTAAGAAGAGAAAGAAGGTCAAGCGTTTTGAAGACTCTAAATGATCACTTGTTACATCAACTTTTGTGATACAAGAGTTTGCTTGTTATGGACTAAGTAATGCATTTATCCATGGTGCACATAACTAATTATATGTTATGTGTTGTTATCATGCAGTTTCCTTTTTTTACATTGATTGCATTTGATAGCCATCAAATGGGATTACCTGTTGCTTGGAGTATTCAACAAAAAGAAACAACATAGATGATAGTGGACTTTTGCAAAAAATCAAAGATGCAGCATTAAAATTGAAGCCTGATTGGAAACCAAGTTGCTTTATGATTGATTGTGCTCCTCAAGAGGTGGCTGCTTTGAAAGCTGTATTTCCAGGAGTTCTTGTGATTTTCTATACATTTCATATTCGAAGGTACTTTTGAAATTTTGTCCATTTATAGTAGTGATTTATGCACAGATTATGTATAAAAAATGCCAATATAATCTGTGTATATTGATGATTGTCACACTTACAGTATTCTATAGATATTTACAATCCTTATTAAAACCTTTGACCATGTTGGAACTGTTTGCAAGGCATGGAAGGAAAATCTTATTCGAAAAGTGAAAAACCAAACGCTTATATTGGAAATGTCTGATGCTTTGTGAGAAATGATGTATGCTTACAGTGAACTTTTGATGTGGGGACGTTGGATGCAATTTCAAACTAGATTTTCTTCAGAAATTGAGTTTCTAAACTACTTCAAACAAGAATGGATCGGAAGAATAGGTACTGTAACTCTATGGTAATTCTCTTGTATTGCTCTCATAGTGTATCTAGCCTGTAGTGTAAGTAAACAGCTGTTCATTACAGTTGGAAGGCTCACAAAAACTTGGTTTAGCCCATTGCATTTAGTATAAGTACTAAATTTATATTATTGGAAGAAGTGTTGAACTGTATTAGATGGATATTGTGAAGTAAAAGTTTACTCATATTTTTGGATGATGGTTCTGAACATGTAATTCACAGACATGGATGATTTTCATAGCAATGGTGATATCTTACATGCCTTGTGTGTTGTCTTCACAGATAAATGGTTGATGATTTGTCAAAATTTTGATCACGCGAACCAACTGACGAATGGTGCAACAGAAGCTTGGCATTTGACCATGAAAAAGATAATTCAAAGAATGATAGGTGGTTTAAAAGCTCGTCGATTGGACAGATTGTTAGACATGCTTTTTGGAAGCATGTTGCCGTTCTTTCTTTATAATATTCGTAGAAAGGCAATGGGATTCGTAGTGAATTGGAGAAAGGAAGAGGTTGCTATCTCCAGTGTATGGGCAGCAGAAAACAAAATGAAATATGCTCAGGTGAAAATAATTCTGATTTTGCATTTGTGTTTACTCATTTTTGCTTGCAATACCCGAGCTATGACTATGCAAAACTTGCATTTTGATTATAACTAATGAAAAGTTATATATGTTGTATTCAGGTGGCATTTCCAGACTCCTTAAAGCCAAAATTTGCTGAGGTGATATGTCCAAAATCTACAACTAAGTACACAGTTCGGGATTGTTATTCCATGCTGCCTTCATGTGACTGTTTGTGGGCTGTGAAAGGAAATATTTGCAAACATCAATGCAAGGCTTTGATGTGCAAAGGGCACCAAGGAGTACCATCATTCAGCAACATGGAACTTGGGCAGGGTCACAATATGAAGGATTGATTTCTAGTACCGATGTACAGTTGTTAAGTGAAAATACTCATTTGTCAGTGGAGTATGATTCAGAACTGCAATCGGAAGAAAATCCTATGTTGGAATCAACGTTCAATCAGAGAAATGTTTGTGTGGAGAAGTCAGGAGAAGTTTGGATGCAAATAGAAAAAATGGCTTCACAGAGTTATAGCATAGCACACATCACACTTGCTGTAATGAATAGATCTTTGCATGACTTGAGAGTTCAGGAACAATGTCAACTAGAATCGGGAAAGGACAGAATCACAAATGCCGACATGTTCATCAGACCAAGTGGCTTGACATTGAGAAGAAGGCTTGGGATCATTGACAAGTATCATGGTGCAAAGAGAAGCCATTCAATTCTGAAGAACTATTTGAAGAAAAAACGGTGTCTAATTGAGACAAGAAATTCTTTGGTAAGTGACTTACACATGCATTGAATTGAAATTCTTTTAGTATAACAAGATGTATGTATTAGTTATGTCTTTGTTTTCATTTTTTCTTTTATTGCGGCTGATATGTAACCACTTGTGACAACTTACAGGATTTGAACGTGCCTCTTGAAGATGTTCACGGTGATAGCGATAGCTATCTGGATATTACCAATGATAGTCCAGATCTGCAGAATGTTATATCAGAGTTCAGTGATGTCATTTGTGATAACATACTTCTTCCTTATGTTTTCCGAGAAGTTCAAGGAAGAAAAAGAGAGACAATTAGAGAAGACTTGTTCAGGCGAAGCACTCAACTGCGTGGAAAACGCAAAAGTAGGAAACCACAAATTGATATGAATAGGATCTCTTTGCCTACAAGTAGATTTTCCCTGCCAAAACGATTAGGTAGAGAGCTTTGAGCTGACACAAATACAATCAAATTAAATGATGATCCGATATAGTGAATAGACTCATATACAAGAGGTAAGTTTCATTTTTTTGGTTACTGTTTTTATCCTTGCCGAAGACTACCTGGTAGGTACTTGACAAGCGAGAAAGCTAATTTTTCAGTTGGAAAGTTCAAAAGTTTACTTCGCGTGATCTCTATGTCTAGAAGTTTGAAATTTTGAATTTTATACATATTTCTCCATCTTGGCACATGAATCTTTATGAATACATGCCAATTTGTATTAAATATATTGTGAACACATTGCTTCCTGATGTCTGAATGATTTTTATAGCACAATACTGCTCTTTCGGTTTTCATTCATGGATGATTTCCATTCGGTTTATTTCTGTACTAGTGTTTCTAGTTTCTTCGTCATTTCTAGCAATGATAATGTACCGGGAGCTGCAAAGAAAGTGACTGGTCTTACGAATGCGCCTCTAGGTCAGGCTTCTTCTTCCAGCTTGTCTGACTTACCTGTAGTCATGCAGAAAGTGTCTCCTGGTGTAAGCTACGTTGCTGTCAATGAGGATACTGTACTGCTACAGAGAAGGGTATGTCTTCAATGCGGTATCAGTACGCAAACGACGACTGTGGCTGGCTTGAAGTTGTGGAGAAGCTTCCGACAGCGTCAATGGTTGTCAGTGTTCTCGCACCTTCCATCCAAATAGCAATTTAGGAAGAAACATCTATTCATGTGGTTAGTTACCAAGGCCCGTCCATGATGAATTTTTTGTATACATGGAACTCTTTTCTAAGACTCATTAACAATATGTGTTTTCTCTCGCAACAGGATGGGTACATCCAAGGAGGTCAGATCTTTTTTCTGTTTAAGGTTTACTACGTCTTCCATGGTTCTGTGTGGTTTTAAAGGATTTCCATTCTGATATGCCTGGACATAATCTTTTTGGAAGACTACGTCTTCGCTTTGACAAGGTGTACATTATGGAGCATGTCAGCGAGGATAAACTGAAAAATTTGCTTCTGTGTCATCGTGTGTAGGTTACGGCTTACTTAGAGTTTCTTAAGAACCATCTCTCAGGCACGTCACTAGCATACACTATTGCCACTCTGGTTGTGGGGAGAAAGATGCTGGCTACTAGCCTGATTTTGGGTTCATCATCGAATTTTACTCCTGCCAAATTTGCGGGTGAAAGTGGACCAATCAGTCGTTCAGCTACGGTGGATCTTGTTTTGGGAACACTTTGCAAGGCTTTAGAATCAGGGACTGTTACAGATCTAACTTGGGACGAATTGAGGTTCATAAGATCACCTATTGTAACCCTTGTTACACCTCAAGTAGCTGCACACGCCAAAGAGCTTACTTCACGACAAGTGAAAGTTCATCAGATTGTCGTGGATGCTGCACTGGAAGTTCTTTCTTTGCTGGGTCAACATGAGACAGAAGAGAAGAGAAAGAGCGGGACTTTTTAGAAGCTTTTGATCGCCCTTTTTCCTGCTTGTGATACTGGTGGGCAACCATGGGGATGGGACTTAGAGGTTTCAATCGGATGGCTAGAAGACACTATTGGGAAGCAGTCACTGCTTTCTGAAGCTTAGGCTGTAGGTCTCATAAGGACCAATGATTTGATGCTCATAAAAGCAGGTATTTCATGGTTTTCTACTTTTTGGTTGCAGGATATGGCCTAATGATCTGGAATAGAATATATGCTGTAGAAGATCCTGGAACTGGTTCCACATTTATACATATACTAAACCAGAAGTGGGAAGAGCCAACCCTTAGTTTCAGTAGGAAAACACTACTGGCAAGTGAGCATATCATATTCTTCCTGATGCTTGGACTTAAGCCACTAGACTCTTGGAGAATTTTCAAATACTACAAATCAGATTGCAGTGACTCTGCACGGACGATCTTTCAGTCAAAAATATGGAAGATCTCGGTGGCCTAGCAATCAAAGGTTATATGTTTCAGACCGATTTTTGAGAAAGAAATTGTTGGTGAACAATCATGATGCAGCCATTCTTGAACTAAAGGAATAATATCTACCTAAACAAGTTAAAGCAAGCTCAGTTGCATTGTATGAAAATGAAAAGCTCAAAAGGTGATAATAGAGATAGTTGTTTAGCTTGGAGCTAGATTCCAACACTCTACTTTCATGAGTTTGGAGTGATGGTATTCGATGATACTTGAAATATTTCAACATGAATGTTTTGGCTAGTTGTCCACAGTTGAGATCTACAGTGTTATTTATGTAGTAAACTATCAGTTGTCAAAATATGTCTTTTGAATTTGTTTTATTAGTCCAATCATATTTTTTGTGCATTTTGTCCATATGTATCTCTCTCGGGAGGTGGATTGCGAGACTAATAGACAAAGACAGACAAACAGCAGAAGGGTGGGAAACACGAAGGAGCTGCCCGAAGCCCATCTGTCTAGTGGCATAATTCTTCTTGCCGGCGACCACAATTTTGCAGGTGGATACATGGATACATTCGTAGGTGCACGCACAAGCCCGAGGGTGTTCTGAAAGTGCGTGCTTTTCCAGCAGACCAAATGTTTCGGGCCTTGCCTTGCTCAATTGACCAACCTGGCACCCCAAATGCCAACAAACAAACCAATACAGTGGTGGCAAATCTCGAACAGGAGAAGCAATACAGGTAGCCATAAACGTGAGTTTCACACACGAGCACAGCATGCCTGCCCCGCTCACTCTCTGAAAGAAATCGCAAACAAACTAGTCCCAAGTGGCCTGCTGTGGGCAGAATTTTTGATGCGAACGGACGATGAAGCCAGAGCAGGAGTAGGATAAATGTGGTTATCCAACATGAGTTATGTGCAGCAACTTGAGTCTCATTCATGAAGAATGACTTTTCCAGCATTTCACGTTCGATGCCATTTCCGAACAAAGCTGAAGGCATGAGCTGAATACCAGGATTCTGACTGTTAAGGACGTTTAGACTCGATGCAAGCACCTTCCCCTTGTTCAGCTGGAAGTGTAGCAGACCTCTGGGAAAAATGAAAGCTTCTCCCTTCTTCACGACCTTTGCATACAGCTTGGATATGGTTGGGTCGTTGCCGAAGTTGTTGGTGACGAAGCCCGTATACATCTCTCCCTCCAACACATACAGAATCTCAGTGGCCAAGTTGTGTGTATGGGGAAAGATGATGCCACTAGGGTTGATATCGAGTATTATGAGAGACAATCCCTGAGTGTTCAGAGCTGGCCATTGTCTGACGAAGGCGAGGGTTGCAGTTCCGTTGGTAGCAGATAAGCTGGAATTCGCAGCTTCCAGCAAGCCCAGAAAATGCAAAGTCGTCTGTGGAAGCAAGTGCAAGCAACTTGCAAGCAAAACCATTTGAAACTGGTCCGGCAGCAAGGTGTGCAATGCAGAAATCCTGCAGTGGGTCAGGATCCGCTGCATGGACAATGTGGACAGCTGACAGCAGTCCAGCTGCAAGGATCATAGCAGCAAGGAGATTCATCGCCGATACATTGCGGTGGTTGTGGGAGAGATCCGTCCTCGCCGTCTGCGTTGTGCACTAAGAGCGAACAGGAGTAGTCTTGGACGTGAACTCAAAATCCACATGACAGTGTTCAAAACCTCCAAGGCTGAAATAAATCTGAATTGTAGTCGAATGATGCTCATAGTCGACACGTGTTCACATAACCAGGGTGCATTGACTACAGGTTAAGCTCTGGACTGCTGAACGGTGACACTGTCACGACGGTCATCGTATGCCGTCGACCCCCCAGCATACGGTCGGGGTTGTTCTAGCCTGCGGTGTCACTAAGGGCTCCCCACTTTCGGGGGAACGCGATGTCTGCCCGGGAGGGCTTTCTGCCCGCCCGGGCCCGCAGCCCGGGCGGGCAGAAAGCTTTAGCTCCCCCGCTCTCGCTCGCTCACTAAGGGCTCTCCCTCGCTGCCTCCCTTCCCGCAGGGAACTTGTAGTATGTATTTTTTTTCTCTTCCTCTCACACAGGGGAGGAGCATGCTTGGGGCTCCCCTCTTCTTCACCGAGATAAAACAATTATCAGGAATAAAACTCTGATCCTAGTTTAAGTTAATGATAACTTATCATTAAACTCGAAATATGGTTTTTTCGCACTATGCCAGCTCATAACCTCATACGTCTATCGTCTCGAAAATGCCATGTACGATACACGAGCATACATCTTCCAAGTACCAGGATTTTCACGGGAGGGGACATGAGTTTCACGTTGATAAATCACTAAACCCTGCACTACTAGGTCCAACAATGCCATGCGAATAACGCTTTTCGTTGTTTGCTAGCTTCATCGATTTTCCGATACATCATAATGATATGAAAAGTGAAATGTCGTATCCACTTAGACGAATATGATTATGCAGGCCTACTATGTGACTAAACACGATCACTATAATTAAGTGTCATAATATAGAACTTTCTTCACTTCTTTCCCTTGATCTTCCACGGGATGTACTTCTAGAAGAATTGAAGTTCCTCCTCGTACTGGAAAATGAATGAGAAGTGTACCGAACGTGACGATTCTTACATCCTCCTTGCAAAGCCGGCTCATATTCCTGAAGCCAAAAAAAACCAAGTCTTTTCTTTTCCAAAGCACTCTTTGGTTAGCAATTTGACATTCACTAAATCATTTGACATTCACTAATGTGACCTCACGGATTAAACAGGTTAATATATGGTGTAGGGAGACCGTCGCCACTCAGGGCTCCCCGGATCCCTAAACCGGGAGCGTGTCGACCCTCCCCGGGTGGTCGGGCTGCGGGCAGAAAGCCCTCCCGGGCAGACCTCGCGTTCCCCCGAAAGTGTGGAGCCCTTAGTGACGAGCCTCCCCAACCTTCTGATAATAGTATGGCCAGTGAGATCCCTGGCCGTCGTGCTCTGCACGGTTTTGGTTCGGTAGGGTGGGGACCAATAGTTGTTAGGGGGAGGAATGACCATTGCGTGTGGTTGTTCCAATTCTTTTCATGACTGAGATGCCTACAATGAAACAGAACTCCTCGACAGATATTCCTCGTGTACCTCGACTGCTTGGCCTGACGGCCTCAGCTAACTGAGAAGGTGTTGCGTTCATCCAGCTTCAGTGTTCGAGGTTCGATTTTTGAGTACGCATACGGCAGCAAGGGACTCCCTTAATCCTGAGGAGTCCTGCGGATCGTTAAGCATAGAGGGTCCAACTCGACCACATTCTGACTTCGCGTTTCTTCAATTTACATGTACACTGACGCGGCTGTCATGCCCATTTGTCCAACTGCACACAACTTAAACATGCAACGCTATAATTCGAGAAAAACGTGTAAGATACGTCGGGGTCCACATGCTCCCAGTGAATTTCTTACCAGTTGCTAAAGGATCGTCACTTCATTACATTGGCATTTCGGTGATGGAAAATCTTTCGGATTTTGAAGGTCGACGAAAAGGAGAGGGCTTTAGCTCTCTCACCGTTGGAGGAGAACTGCTAGGTACTGTACTTCAATAGCAATACCTACCAAACCACTTCTCTACAAACCTTTCACAGATCCATCCAACAAAGTCCGAATTTGTAACTTTGAGGTCCCGCATGAGGCTGCTTTTCAGAAACACAACTTAAACATGCTCTTTCTTTGTCAGTGATGGGCGTAGTATGGTTACTGTGTCAATTTTGGATGTCTTGTTCCCCTCGTGATACAACCGTAGTACAGTTCCTGAGTACTTGTTTCACTTTTTTTCTGAACCCCCCGGGCGAAGAATCGAGACATAAATCTTGTATTAGTTTCTTCTTCATCTCATTTTATCGACAACGACTAAAAGCTCGAACGAGTTCACATATCCGGACCACACGACTGTCGCTAAGCAAGGACATCCTAACAGGAGCAATTTGTGTAGTTCATATACAAATACGGCCCTGCAACAACTATCGGGTAGAAGTTCCTAAACTCTGGTCAACCAATACGGGAATCTGCCCGTCTCTATTCCCAAGCTAGCCTTAGTCTGGCAATCCGATGCCCTGCAAGAAGTGAAGATACTTTAGTTTGCTAGAACTAATAAAGGCTTCCACGGATCCTACATTCAGTCCGTCTGATGAGTTGTCCACCTGAAGTACTAGTCAAACGAAGATCATGATATGTGTAGTTGAACTATTACAGTGGACCTCCGTCTATAGCACAATGTGAATAGACATTCGTACAACTATTGTGATACTCTGTTCATGTACTCATACGCGAATTGCAGGGAGATGTATTTTTTTACATTGAGTGGACAATTTTCGTATTACCTCGGATACGGCTTTAGCTAATAAAGCCATTCTCAAGGGACGTAAGATTTGGTTAGATCCTGATATTACACCTCTACAAGTGTTGTTCCCGTGTTCCCGCGTCTCCACAATGTTGATGATGTCAACAATTTTCCAAATCGTATCTGCACTCACATATAACTATTTTCGCATTGCTTCACTTGTAGAGGTATAAGATCATGATCTAACCAAATCCTACTTCTCTTGAGAAAGATTTTATTAGCCAAAATTGTATCCGATGTAATCCGAGTGGTTCATTCTCTCGGTGTAAAAAGTACCACCTCCCTGGAGTTCACGCATGAATACAGCTGCTCCACATTCGACATTCAAGCCCGAAGTGCCGGTTGACATGCGAGGGTTCCGAAACTTTTAGTCTTCTAGCGAAGGGAAACAGTCAGGTCAATTCACACTGGCGTGACTGGACATGCTACAAATCAACTAGGTCAATGACGTAAACTTCTCACCTTGCCGCTTCCTCCTCTCCATGTATGGTTCTGATTAGGTACTTAGCTCGCTAAGACAACTGAAATAAATCCTCCAACTTCGAAGCGTGGTAACGCCAGCTTCGCCAGGTAAGAGTACATCAAACTTTCAGTCGTTTTACATTTTCTTCATGAAGCCACCCGAGGCACTCCTCTGTTGTGCCTTTAGGGTGTGCGAGCTGCCACAACAACACTTTATCCTTCTGCGCAAAAAGGATATTGAAAATCGAAATTATCAGTCTGGACATTACTTACTGCTCCCAGAGGCTGCATTCTGATCGTAATTTACGTGTGCACGAGGTGCTTATGGTAAATGGTTAAAAAAGCAACAAGACTCTTCAACGTGTAGCCTACGAAGGTTGACATAAGATAACGCACCCATTCCTGAACTTGCTTTCCTGGGGACAGATTCAGTGCTTCTTTGATTGCATCGCCATCTAGCACTAGCTTTTCTTCCCAAATTTTCGTGAGTCCTGCGCCGTCCACCCAAATACAAAACCGTGACCGATTGAGATGGAGGCCTCCGGATCTACATCTAAACTCAGATTTCCAACAGTTCCAAGTGCACCTTATCCAAAGCGATATCTACAGGATACATCCAGCTTAGTTCTTCCAAGAGCTAATCAACCCTCAGCTCAACGTGCAGTGGAATTTGGGAAATCCTTTCAACGGACAAGCAAATTATCGTGATAGGTTTTAGTGGATGTGCCTACGCACCCAGTTTGTTAACAGTGTCTTCCACCAGATTGCACATCTTTACTTTCTCCTCAATCCACCTCTCATTGTCTACAGACAATGCAACCATTGCTGAGTGCGCTTGCGAAGTAACTGAAGGAAGCTCCATGATAGATGACAGCAATAAGGTACAACGCCACAGCTCCTTGTTCTTTCTCAAAAGCAGACCTGAAAAGTTGTGAAGGAAACCGAAACGTAGAACCCAGTCAGTTCTGACTCAGTCCAAGGACTCCGTAGTAAATGAGCAGAGAACTTAATGATAAGTGATCCTGAGAAGTGCCTAAGACTGCGAGTACCTAGCTCCACTCTGTGCTTGGAAATCGCTGCTAAATCGGGATCTTCTCTGTATATAGACTCCTTCGTATCTGCTGAATCGTCTGACTCAGCTTGGAGAATCTTTTCGCTCACCAGTTTGAACTCCTTAGCAAAATTAAAAAGAATTTCTACCTGCAATTTGCATATGAATTGTGTTAAAAATGAGAACGCTGATGTTAGTGAAGAGCAATTCCGCACATCATTTCCAAAGTGTGGCACTTCGCAGTCATATCGACAACTCCTATGTCATATGAGGTAATAAGAATGTTGGGAAACACTTACCCCGGCAGCATCCTTGTTTTTGAGCACCAGTGACTTCATAATAATGTGAGTTGACACTGGAATCTGGAGCCACAATATAGAGGCCAAGAAAACATCCAATTTAGTTTATTCCATACCAAATATCATGTACGTCAATGAATCTCAGCTAAGATATGAACTCAGACAGCCACTAATAATGGCCCCAAGCTCTTACTTATACAATATAAAAAAGAAACTACCCCACATTATTCGAAGAAATATCCGTTTTCACTGACCTTCTTTTTCTTCTCCGAACAGGTACATGATCGAAGGGGCAGGAACAAGGCTCCAAGTAAGCATATTTGCCTTTGAGCTTTCTAACATGTACAGACGCAATCCAAGATTCCCAGAAATCAAAAGCCAATAACATTGTACTGCCCTGAAAATCGGATGAAAAAAACTTACGCAATACTCATTTCAGTTCCGAATCCAGATGAAACTTTAAATGTCTCTATGACAATAACAGTTCACAAAGTGAAGCTAGTGTTTCACTGCAAACTTTGCAACCAACTTGATTCCAATTATGAAACAAACATACATTCAGCTGATCGGAACTCTTGTACTTTTGTAACACTTTGGTAGCAGCTCGTAATGTATCGACGCACAACCTGATCAAGACACACAATATTGTTAAAACCGAAACAAGAATAGAACATATAAGCAGCATTGTACCCGGATACTCTGACAAGTTAAGGGAGAACTGCACCAATATACTATTTGTAAACTGTTTGTGGACACAAAGCGTATACCCTTGTACGAATCTCACGCGGTGAACTCATTTGAGCATTCTACCATTAGATAACTCCGGTTGTATCAATGTCAATAGTCGACCTTAACCCCAAACACTCCTAACATATCGCAGATCACTTGAACCAAAGCAAAACCACACCTTCCATAATTCTCCGGAATCGACGGGTCGGGTTTCGAATTTGCATCGATACGAAATACAGTGGAGAAAAGATTTAGATCTTCAATGTACTCCATTGCTTGTTCGGGTTTGTTACCACCCAACATAAGCTCAACCTGCGGAATGGCATCCAGTGATTTTCAATAATCAAGAACTCTAAAAATAAAGTTGGCTGGCACAACACTGTCGATTATGAAAGGACGGTTTACATCTAAGTAAATTAAGAAGAGATATACAACCTTGGCATGAACGTCGATCTGCAGAATATATAACTCATGCTCCATCAGGATTACTATATTCTCTAGGTGGAAAAGCAACAGGAATTGATGCAGTACATTATTTTTCTCCTGAAACTTAGTCCTCTTACCTCGTGTCCGACTCGTTCCCTGCTGACTTTATTGTTCAAAGCGTTTCTCACTGCTTCACTGGCGGCTGCTTTCTTCAACTCTTCATCTAACTCAAATTGAAACCGAGCACCTTCAGAAGCAAACATGTTCCAACATTAACTGCAAACCTTTCTTCCGCCTTCAAGTGTGTTCTACCCAGGGCTGCCATATAATTCAACGTATAAAACTACCAGAGCAGTCTTATCAGTATCGAGAAGGAAAAATCAGATGCTCAGCCAATCATTGTACATCTACAATCCAGTTTTGGAAACAAAAAATGTAGATGTTCTGACGAAACTATATAAAGGTAAAACCACAGAAGAACTTCCTACCAGTTAGATCACTGTCAATATTACAAGAAAACCGCTGCAATGAGATCGACAGATATCAGAATCAAAACGACAAATCAGAAGCCCAAACTAAAGATGTTTCAAAAGTTGTGACAGGAGAGAGAAGTAGCGTGGTGTAAAATAAGTGAGCGGATAGCTCTTGAAGTTACGTCGAACTTCAAGCTCTTCAAGTTACGTTCGGATGTCCTTGAAGCAATCGAGGACATCCGAACAGACAAGAGATCGACAGGTTTTAAGGTACGCCAAACTTCAAACTCTTCAACGTCGTATTCAAAGCAATAGCTCATTAAGTACCAAGTACACATTCCTTTACTTCACAACAGACTGTAACCAGATCTGACTAAGATAAGTTCTCAGTGATCAAAAAGATCCGAAAGAGAGTTACACTGATGTACAAACCACAACAAAAATAATTACTGACTCATGCGGCGTCAGTAGACTTCGGGTTAAAACAGGATCATGTTAGATATAAACATTACTTATATATTGTATGGAAAACTTTTATTCAGCCTTGAAGTGGCTTCTATGTGCTAAGACCAGGTCCCTCTCCCTAGCAATCCCAATTCGCAGAGGACTAAATAGAGATATTACCAAAACGGATTGCGCGACACACGCGTAGAGGATCATCCAAAAATGTTGATTCTGGAGGTAATGGAGTGCTGATAACCCCCGCTTTCAGATCTCGTATGCCTGTAAAATTTTACCCACAAAATAAGTGACAATGAGTGTGTGGTACAAGAAACTGTACATTTATGTATGTCATAGCCTGGAGAAATTAGACCCCATGACCACGCCGAGAGGTGCTAATAGCAACATGGGCCTAAACGAGTGAGATTGACATATAGTAAGGAGTGAATGAAACATCCATCGACTAAAAACAGTTGCAGATCCAAGGGTAGGCTCATGATCTGATTTCTCAGATCAACTTAATTCACCTCTCGTTGTAAAGTCCTCCACTTCCCTTGTATTGATATTGTAGAAAAGACTGGTCAAGACCTCAACAAAAACAACGTATGTTAAAACTAATGCCAACATTATTTCAATACGAAGCTTTATTTGTGTGATACCAACAAAAAACCCTCAGAAGATTTGGAGCACTGTTTCCTGGCTAACTGTAAAACTTAAACGGCATAGTCTTTGCAATTCAAAATGTGAGTAGACATAGACTTCTCTAATTTCTTCTTTTATTCAGCCTGTTTACAACATGGACAAATGTCAGCATCCTACCTCAAGTGTAATTATCCAAGACATTCACAACGTCATACCTATTGATAGTCAAATCACGCCTGAGGGCATCTTGCTCGGGTGTACCAAACTCCTGCACAACACATGACTAGTACTGCTTAATCTCAAAGCCTCGTATGTTTACATGAGTTTATCTGTTTGTATTATGGTAAATTAGTCATCTAACAGATAAGATAGTAGATGATCAGCCATTGTGGGTTAGCATGCAAGAGAGCGAAGCAACTCAAATCTAGGTGTTACAACAGACGGTACCTACGAAGGGAGATGGCAAGAAACAAGGAAACGACAGAAAATTTGGGACCTGTCATGAAGGAACGGAAGAATTAAGTGAACGAAAGATAAATTGATGCGTAAGTGGAAGCCAAGGAGCAAAAGAAAAGTGGAATGTGGAAGGCAGCGAGGACACCTACTGTCTAACACTTAACAATTTGGAAAACTAGGTGTACAGTGTGAACGAACCAGTCCGAGGCAAGAATGTCCTCGGGTGACCATCAACTATATTGGAAACGGAAGCATCCAATTCCCTCTTCTGTGGATCCGAGATGTATAGATTTCTGCACTGGAATGGACTGGGATGGCCTGAGGAGCCTGGTGTTGGGCCTCGAACTCGAGGCCCAAGAAGCCAAAGTGAAAACGATGGTTGTTCCTCAGACCTCTGTCAAATACTGCCTACCACAGTTCCTACGAGCAAGAACAGTATACCTAATGGAAAGAACAATAAACGATACCTTTGACTGGAAACAACGTGATTGAAAAACCACTAAACTTAGCTGAAAAACAACCATAAATGAAAAGCGAAAGAACAGTATTCCACTAAACTCAGCTGAAAAACAACCATAAATGAAAAGCGGAAGAACAGTATTCCACTGTAAAGAGTATTCAGGAATAACGAGAGCAATGTAATCGTCGTATGTGGATCTGTAAAGGAGTTCATGAGTCATTATAATCGGAGTACAAAACATTTCTATAATCTGATCGTCGAGAAGAAAAAGTAAAAAGGCAGAACTAAAACAGAAGATGGGCTTATGAACAAGCTCCCGCGGTGTGCGGATCACCTGTCACACTGATCGGATATTTCCCAGAAGTGAATACCCTACAATGAACATCTTTCGAAGCATGCAAGAAGGAAGGGTACGAAAATGATGCGCCTAAGAAGGGTACAAAAATGATGCGTAGTGGTGGGTGCCATAGTTCCTGACTAATGGACCAGACGCAGTCGAGAGGTACATACAAGGGAATTTGATTCACTTGAGTCTTAATGATTCGTGATTTAGACTTCTAAGAAATCATAAACAGCACATGTGGAGGAGTTATGAGCTGAGTTAGCTAAAATGTGGCTCTCTTCGTTATTCGTAAATCTGTAACTCGAGTTTCGGAGCAGATAAGGAAACAGTAAAGTCCATAAAACAGCAATGGCCTCGTAGAGCAGATCCTTTTGTTTCAGTAAGAAGCATGATTGAAAGATCTCTGATTTGTAATAGAATGAGTATTTATTTTGAAGTTAGTCGATAACATACCATTTGAGGGATGCGGCTGTTGTCAGCATAAGTCTCAGCACGTAGATTCACAAAATCAATTGACATTCCCAAGATTCGCATGTTGGCCGTTTCCAGGTGTTTGGACTGGTCTGGGTTGCTGCGTACAGGAAGAATTGGATTAGTCTCAGTTCACCGCTCGACTGATATCATAAAGTTGCATTCAAGCATAAGCTGTGAGTTACAGAAGATATATTCAGCAGATATCTACTGCATGTTGATATTCAAAATTAACAAGGACCAATTTGATGCAAAGCCGAAGTTAAGTGCAGATTCTAGAATGCAAAGAGTGTATTTTGTGGCACACTGAGTGTCTGAGACTACCTCATTATTACACCAACACTGTGCGTCTCCTCCCCGAGGGACGCAAGGTACTCATTTACTTTCTCACAAAACTCCCGTCCAAGCATGTCATCGAGTGCGATGTCAATATCAGTAGAATCTTTCCCAAGGAGCTGCAGAGAATTACACACTAATTTAAGTGCAGACATCGAGTCATGGAAATTGTTAAAAATAATAAAGGCCAAAATGCACATAAAGTATAATTCCATGCCGATGAAATGTATTGCTGAAGAAATGTACTGTACCTTGTCACGAACCCAACCTCCAGCCACACGAAGCTGAGTTTTCAAGTCAAATTTTTCCAAGACGGCAGTCAAGATATTGAAGATTCGCTCTTCCAAATCTGTGAGCTGCACTCTGTCCCGTACCACATGTGCCATGGTGGTTGGGCGAGACTGCTGGAAGCTCGCTTGCGTAACCTCCGTGCTCAATTGGGCAACGGCGAGGACTCTGGGCAAGTCTCCGAGCACGCTAATTCTGTTCGCAGGAACTAGGGAGGAGCAAAAGAATTTTGTGAAAGTTTTCGCTACAGTCGATTTTCTCGAAGGGAATGCCACAGCAGAAGCCGTCGAAATTCGAAGAAAAGGAGGCAAGCTACACAGCAGCGGTACAGCAGGCCTCAGGCTCAAACTCAAGAAAGCCATAACCCGACCAGCACCGTTCTCATCGTTGCATGAAACGCGTTACATGTACAGGGTATCGACAGATTCTTCAACTCCTCCTTAGTCTTACTTCCTCCGTACTCTCTCCCCGATTGCAAATACCAAGAGACACTCTCGACATTCCCTCGCGGATTTCCTCGTCCAATTTCCGTATTCTCCTCTCTCCTCTGCCTTTCTTTGTGACTTCTTTAACTTCTGGCATTTTCTTCTTCAGCGCCACTAATTTGATAGCAGGAAGAGTCTTTGTACCGGTACTCGTTTGTCCTCATCTGAGAACTAGTACACTCTGCCTTAACTGGGATTCCCGAATTTATCTACAGGAGAGGGGGTTAAGATTGAGAAAGTTGTCAGTATCTGAAGGAGTTTCATGAACTTTCAACTTCAACATGTTGGACCGCAGACTGTACGTCGTACAATAAGGTTATCTCCCACATCCTTGAATGTGAATATAGAGTAAGTCGAATATACCCTTGAACACAAAGCCGGGTACATCTATGCATGGTTTATGGCATTGCATTTACTCTATCAAAATGCGCTATGTCGTTTTACATCGTGTTAAAAGAGTTTCAGTCTATAATTGTGGAAAACTATTTTATTTTTGTCTTGAGTCAAGAGTAGCTTACGAAAGTTTACCCCAAACTCAATTTGCTCACAAGACTCTCATCTAACTTTACTAAAAGAAATTTTATACAATATATTGCTGTTGCGGTAAGATCTATAATGTTTGGTTCTCTCAAGAACTTGTGTTCGATGTGAGTCTCAAGAACACCAAATTCTATATGTATAACTAAGATTCTTTTTCTGCAAGTGAACCATGAACTTAAGAGTCATTAACAATAAAACCTTAGTATTGTGTATACAACTTAATTTTATTGAATATTATTTAGATTACCTGGCAACTATAAGATTACTCATGTGTGCAAGTGATGCAACCACTTACCATATTTTATGAAACCATTAAAGTAAGCATTTGGTTCAAAATTTTCAATTGCTTCAATATCATTGCTTACAATACAATCATTTTATAAAAACTATACTGTTAGCACTTAAATCAGAATCACAAACAATAAAACAGAGAAATCAATGAGAGAGTATTCACAAGTTTATACAACAATGTAATGTAGTTCACCCATTGAGGGTTACGTACACTGGCAGGAAATTCAAGCACGCGTATATTGATCTGAGAAGTCTTATTGGTATAGAGTCAACTTAGAATTCTATACCCCATATAAGAATATTGCTAGCTAAACTTAACTAGCATGACGTTAATCCAAAACACACAACTTAACCTCAACAATCTCCCACTTAACTTATGTTGATGGAACAGTAAACTTCGTAACCTATATTATTATTATTCCGCAAGAAGTCTAAAAAAAAAATTGACACAAGGTTTCTTTTGATAACTAGAATTATCTAGAACTAAACGATAATCATAAATGTATAGTTTTAATATAAAAAGTTGACTGAAAAAACTACTATTATAAAGGTACAATAAACTTCGTGACTTATATTACTATGTGCATGAAATTTTAGAAGTAAACCTAGCACAAGATCACTCTTAATAATCTGAGTTAACTAGAACTAAGTTGTAATCATAACTTGAGTGAGTAATAAAGTAAAAAATCATCTGATAATCAAAGATACTATGATAGCAATGTTGAGTTTAACTCCAATTAATGAGTAACATCGGGCTTTAGCTATAAATAGCCAGGACGATCGCATGGGTGTGGATAAATATCTTGAGGTTTTTCATGTACAGTGAGTCTTTTTGACCTGAAGTAAAGGTGCTCAAGTTCTGGGTGGACGTAACACTCCTACCGGAGGGTGAACCACGTTATTTTGGTGTTCATGTATTTCTCAGGTTTTACCGTGAGAAGCAAACTCTACCTTTGTTCCTCATGCATAGTAGCACAATATTGTCTTAAATTCTCTTAAAGAAATAACCGTAATCAACACATTAGTTAGATTGAGTTTACCGTCCATTTTGACTAGCTAAATTATTTCATCAAAAATTGTTTGTCCGATAATATTATATATGATGTCGATGTGCTTCACCATATTCTACATAATTTGATTCAGATCCATATGTAGAATACTCTGGCGATCAGAATAAAAATTGAACACGTATTATTTCAATCTCATCATTATGATCAAAATCTTTAATCACTTAAATTTGTTTGATTCTTCTGATGCCGTCATATATTCGGCTTCCATTGTAGACAGAGCTATCACACCTCATAAATTTGTCATTTTATCTTTAGATGTCAAATTTGCCAAAATTAAATGGTTGCTTTTATATGTGAATTTTTGAATTTATGTCTTTATATCAAGACTCATAAAATTTGTTATTTTATTTTTTTAGATGCCAAATTTTCCAAAAATAAAAAATCAAACTTGTCAAAAATAAGTGGTTGTATTTATGTTTCATTTCTAACTTTATGGTTTTATAATCACAATAGCAATTATTCAATAGTCGTTATGTGGTCACAATAATCCTGACGATGTAGTAGTTTGATCAGTTCAACCACCAACTTATCATTTTTAGGTATCATGGATTGTCAAACCCTCTCTCAGCAAAAGCACAAAGTCAAATGTGACCTCGTTCCTATTCAATGTTCGTCATATTGAATCAACACCATTACGACAGTCCAATGTTTGCTTTGCGTGCACATTGGACGTGAAAAACACGATGGAATAACCGCTAAAATACAACTCATAAAAAATGTGCAATTGTTCCAGTTTTCATTTTGTCTTGAATGTTACAAAAGTTGTTTGCAATTCCAACACACTTATGACAGGACAAAAAACCTGACTTCTTAACAACATATAAACTAGCATACTTCAACAAGAATGACGCAATGAAAATCAATGTGTTTCTTGACAAGTATCGTGATAGTCTCATTTTTGATATGTTGAAGTCAGTCATTATTGATGATATTGTTGGAAATTTGTTTTGAAAATTTATATGAAGAAAATAATAATAATTTATCATCAAATCAAACATCATGAAAATGTTCAAGTTGTAAGAAGACAAACTGGACTTAGTCATCATCAAAAATTTGTTGCTTTCAATCTCGCACTTGAACATTTGTCTTTTGGACTGTTGTTTTGTTATCATCTCTCATCATCTAGCATCGGAATTTGTGAAAGAATTCAAAGCTAGCGAATCTCAACGATCAAATGATATGGAAGTTTGTCTATGTGCTCTTGTTGTTGCCCTTAAGTTGATGTTCAACATCAACTACAAGACAACGTTCACCGTTATGAATCAAAAACATGTATGGAAATTTTCATATTGATGCCTCTTGTTGGAGTTCTCGGAAGAAATCTTTGTAAAGATGATAAAGCAAAAACCAAAAGAGTGTGACTTTTGAGTTTAAGCAAACATAAACTTGACATAAAGCATAATAATCAAGAAGATACATTGGTTGCAAACTCTCAATATCACTCTATAGTTCCCACTACACAACATAGTTTTGAACAAATTAGATGTTATTCGAGAGAAGTGAAGATAATTATTCACCTACAAGTAGAAATTAAGAACAAAGTTAATTGAAGTTTAATCTAGAATCTATGAAAAATCATCCTTTTTTTCATTGCGACTACATGATAAAAGCTTCGTGAAATAGATTTCAAATATTTATGTAGACTTTGAACAATTTAGTATGTGTGATGAGCTAAAACAATTCTCGCAGATTATAAAAATTTTCACTGATTTGCAAATCAACATAAAAGAGTTGTACAAAGTCATGAAAATATGAGAAAATTTGATTTGTTTGGTTCAAAATTTTTAAATTTTAAAAAGTACATATAGTACTTATAATTTAGGGTTTAAATCCTAAATACTAAATACTATTAGACTTGGATAATTAATTACCCATAATCACTTTTTGGAGTCATCCAAGTCTGATAAGCTACCTTATATACATATATAATTCTCAATATGTGAAGTATTCCATAACATAATGAGGAAGTCGTCATCGGGTCTGATTTCACATAATTCAAAAAAAATTGCCTTCAAGGAGTGCTGCTGAACGAGAAGGAGGAAAAAGAAAAGAAAAAAAAAGTGTGCGAATCAATGTGGTCCATCCTAATATTTCAGTCCATGTAAAGTTATATCGTAGAACCAATCCTCCGAGTGTCTTGAAACTTGGGTTTCAAACGAGAGAAAGGAGCTATGAAAATGTTTCATTTAACATTATGTTTTGGAAACTCCAAAACTGTTGTACAAAATTTGAAATTTGTAACTCGATTTTGAAAGCTGGAATTTGCTTACCTTAGAATTAATCGTGCAAACCACATAGCTAGATAACTTAATGATTCACTAATATTCACAGTCCGCCTGCGAACACAAGAATCACTCCCATTTTTATGTGGCAAGGATGAGAGACGGAAGATAGGCTCGCGCTTCTACGTGGCACTATGATTCATACTGATTTCTGTCGTTTCCAACAGCACGAATCAATGGGGCTTTTAAAACAGATTGAACACAAAAATATAACAATCCAAAACTACGTGTTTTCTCCGAGAGATTATTTTAGTTATATCTCACACACAAAGAAATTGAATTTTGAAAAATTTGAATCTTTTGCGGCCGATGTTCGGGAGTTATGGATTGATTATGAGTTATAAGTGACTACTTTGCCAAGACAATATAAAATCCATGTCAAACTATTTCACGTAGTTGCCGGAGTAAATATTGAAGTGCCGGAAGTAAAAAATAATTTGTTTGCTAATTCGTGTCGTTTCCAATAGCACGAATCAATGGAGCCTTTCAAACAGAACAGAGACGAAAATAGAACAACCCAAAACTACGTGCATTCCTGTAACACTAGGGTTTAGATAGAAGCTCACTCGAAGATAGAAACGTAAACTCTGAAGATGAGAGATACCAACAATGGTTCTCCTCTCCCTTATATAGCTCTCACCAACAAGTACAAGGTGATAAGATCTAATCCCCACCATCCATCCCACTCCTAGTGGATGGATGACGTGGCGGATAACCCTAACAAGCACACGGATCGCTGACGTGGCGCACCCAACTAACACACTCAATCCTTACCTACAAGCACATGGATTGATGACGTGGCACTGTCAACTAACACATCCACTCTGTACCTACCAAGTGCGCGGATCGCTGACGTGGCAGCTAGCTCTAGTGCACACTAAAGTATCTACATCAATATTTAGAGTAACCTCTACTTTAGTTC